GTATGGCCCTGAAAAGAGCCGATTGTTTTATGCGACGCGTTCGAAGTTCATATCGTTAAGAACACATACTGCGTTGACGGGATAAACTGCGGAAGACTAGCACGATGGCTGATAATGTTCGCGTTCGATGGAAAACAGTTGAAATTCGCTCGTAGGAGAACGAAACACTGTCGGCCATCGTGCCAGTCTTCTGCAGTTCATCTCGACAACGCGGTACATACGTGTCGTTAACAGTGAGAACTTCGAACGCGTCGCATAAAAAAATCGGCTCTTTTCAGAGCTATACATATTAACCCAGGAAAGTTGGTCCATAAATATTATTGATAAGTGATCAGTGTTTAGTGATAATGCAGTGAAAGTAAACGTTGAAATTGCCTGCCCGGAGACATCATTCTGTTCGTCTCCGTCGGATACATGAAGTGGTTTTTACAACTAAATGGGTGAGTTTCTTATTGATAATATTCTTCATATTTCTGTAACAAACATATCCCTTACGTCCTTTAACACGATTATAATTTATTAAATTAGCTTTGCGAATCATTCGTTGAACTGTGTTCGGACGACACGGAATTATTTAAATAAAATATCATTAACGTAAAATATCATTTTCGTATTTTGTTAATCTTCACTGTACACCTTGCTTAAAAATTTCATATGTTACACACGAGGTGTCATGCACACTAGAAAATTAAAACGGCCGTCACGGTTAAATTACTTATTATTTCGGGTCTGAAAAATTAGTAAATATTCTTCAGACGTTCTAAAGTAAAGGTGAACAGCGTTTTTCTTAAAAATATCACTGTTACGTAGTAAAAAAAAATCTGGAAAGTTCTCGCTTCGTGATTTGTTCAATACTTCGAACGCGGCTCGAGTCCGTCCCGACCATCTGTCGAAGCTTCGTGCTGCGGGCTCTCGAACTTCGCGCCATCACTTCTCATTGGTCAGTGTTTTTCGTTAATAACTCGTAAACAAAGCCGCAGATCGCATTTTCGCAAAGGAAAAAGTTACTTCAAATGACCTCAGCTACCCCTCATTTTCGGCTGTTAAAGTAATTGTGGAACACCCTGTATATATATATATATATATAAATTTTTTTTCTTTCTTGAATATATAAATTAACGGTAAAAATGTAGTAATTTACCGTAACTGGATCTCTTAAAACTGACGCTGTTAAACCAGCAGCCGAGCTTCCTTTTCCTGATGTGTAAACTGCAACGGGTGCGACCCTCTCGACAAATTTTAGCAATTGCGATTTGGCTGTACCAGGATCACCTAACATTAAAATATTGATGTCTCCTCTTCTGCAGAGACCATCGGGCATTCTTTTCCTGGCTCCTCCAAATAATAAACACGCTATTGCTTTCTTCATATCCAGTGCACCAAAGATACTCGGAGCTATACTCTTTGCAATCCTTTCATATATATTTGAATCTGCTGCTATACGCCTAAATAAATCTTCTTCCTCGTTTGTAACACTTGGTTGGGTACCTGTAATCGTACACATTAGAAAAGACATAGTTTCCAGCGAACTATTTCATGGCTTCTGTTTATCGTTAACATACCACTGCCTACATTTTCTCCATCTACAGAAATTCCTATAACTCTTATATATGGAGCCCGGACACCAACCAATGCCTTCTCTTTTCCTGCACCTCTACCACCGGTTCTAGTAACCTTCTTGATAGAATATATTCCCAAAATAAGAACTCTATTGCCTGGTACAACTCTATCGCATAAATAGCGGTCGCAATACAATTGCAAATGGCGTGGAATTTCACCCTGTGGAATATGATCTGGTAGCTCTTGCAATTTAAGAACTTGGAAATCAACGCAATGACACTTGTCTGGCATTATGAAGAATGGATCCAATGGGCATTTTGGTCGACCTGCTTGTTCTCTGTTGTAAATTGTTCACGAATGTTTTATATATTTTCACTATATTATACTCGTAAACTTGAAATTACTTAAATATATTGTTAACGTTTCTTACGTTGTACATTTCCTGGGTAAAACATATCCCTCTAAACCAGGTTTAATGGAAATATTGCCCTGCATGCTTCGACAAGAACGACATTGTATAGCAATCTTTGTGGCTTTAGCTCTAATTCCAGATGCAGAAATAACAATGCCAGATATTTTGATCAGCTTAGAAACTGCATCAGGCTAATCAGAGTTGAATAAAACACGATACAGCGACTACTAGATTAATTATCATTAATTTGAAAAGATTTTAGAAACTACTTTCACCTTCATGCCCCTCAAGGAACTTGGATGCGCATCCGAAGACAATAGCAGTTGGATGTCCTCGACCTTCTCTTCCCCTTCCGGTCTCGGGGCAGTAAGTTCATCGGCCAAATCTTTTGCAGCTTCCTCCAAAATTGGCAAATATTCTGTTGGATGTTTATGAACTTTTTCAGCTAAAGATTCATCAAAAGCTGCCAAATCCTCCAAATTAACTTCCACCCAATACTGGCCAAGATTGTAATTCCGCTTTAAAGTGTCTCTTAAACGATCAGTAAATTATTTATGGAATTAACAGGAGAACAACAAGAAAGTATACAATATATTTAAATACAAGAGTAAATAGTAAAAACACGAAAGTATAACAGTATATCATTTTAAATACCTGTATTTATAATTGAAATTTCCTTCGTGAAATTGTCTGATAAATTCCATGAACTTCTTTTTATAAAATTGGAGATTAGTTTGCGATTGTGCTTTATTAGTGTCGCCTACCGAAAAATTATCGGAAAAGAATATTCCTGGATCGTCAAATCCTTCCATTTTCCACAGTTAATTTCTACAAATTTTTAACGTAAATGTAAGATATTCTAACTACACACACGTATACGGTGGAATTGGCGGGAAATACTTGAAGAATGTTTGTTTCTAATTTAATATGTAAGCATAGATTTTATGTATCATAGAATAAATATGCATATCGAAAATGTACGTATTACATACATTCCTTGAAATTTGTCCAAATTTGAACCAATAGAATGTAGTTACACATTGTGCTACAAATCGAGAAAATTTTGCGATTCGATATCTATCGATATGTTTTCATGTACAGTTCATTCCATTAGGTCCATACACAGATAGTAGACGTACAATTATATAATATTGTTTTACGTCTGTCGCGTAAAAATCGTTGAATTCGTCGTGAACCATTTTCAATCGTATCTTGTTGAAAAGAAGGAAGGTACTGTGTTAAGCCCTAAACATTTGACAATCTTTTAGTGCAATGATGTCTATAGATGTCATATAATATTATAGTAAATCTTATTTAGTTCTTATCCTAGAGAGAGAGTTTGCATTATTTTATCATATACAAGTATAAATCTTCTCAGAAGATTTATTTACGAAAGAAATATTCACTATATTGTAAATATTTTGTAATAAAAACATAAGTTTTACGTACGCAGTGTCTATTGACACTTAACTTATGCTTTTCACAAAAGTATAACAATATTAATACATTAGTTTCAGTACATCATGTCTGAAGAAAAAGTTAATAGACGTATGATATTCCCGTACACACTTTCTGCTAAAGTAGCTCAGTTTCCATACAAATTTTACTACAATAACGAACGTGCTTGGATGTTCAAATGGTGTATTTTTGGCTTTATTGCAGCAGCACCTATTTTCTACAAGATACAGAAGCTCAGTAAGTGTTTCATTTTTATGATATTAAAAGATATACCGCCAGTATAAGAATATTTAATAAGAATAGTTATTATTATCTATTCCTTTCTATTTTAGGTTACAGTCCTGAAAATGTAAAGAAATGGGACGAAATCCGTAAAAAACAATTTTCAGGTGAACATGAACATTGAATAAAACCTAAAATTACTGTAGTATAATATGTGAGAGAAGTGTATAAAGGAAATACATAAAATCTTCACAAATTAAGGTTTAAATTAATTATGCTTCCAAATGTGTTATTTTACTTGTCTCTTTTCAAATATTACGTTATGAACAAGTTTGAAATATAAATCTATTTAAAAATTTTATTACCAAATTAATTGTATAAAACGTACATGATTACAAAAAACTGTACCTACAACTGCTGTACAATGTAGAGAATAATAATAATAATTTGTACCGTAGGTTTTGTGTAGGACCAGCCTAAAATTTTTAATTGTTTTTAAAACAGGCTGCTAGTTCGAAACAAAATGGAAAAAAAACATAAGTACCGTTTAACAATCATGATCTCCTATCTCCAATACAAGCGTGCAATTTACTTTTCTTTAGAATAAATATAAATGTAAACATAGCGACTAATTTCCTTTTTACATATCAATTTGAAGCTTTGTACGAATATTTCTTAGCATAAAAAAGGTCATCAGTCATTTATCATGTTATTGCATGAGACATATTTTAAATATATTATATAAAAGGAAGGCAATGAATAACACGTTATGTAAATTGATGGACTTTGTGTAAGTAAAAGTGTTGAGAAATCTGGAATACATTTAAGAAAACCCGTGAAATATTTGCAAAAATAACAACATAAGAAACGATTGTATAGACAGTAGTGCTAAACTAATAAATAATTATTATAATGTAAAAAAGACTTGCCCAATAACAAAAATTGTTTTCTTCTTAATAATACTAACTCAAAAAGACTTGTATTGGCTCAAGTAAATGAAAGTTCATCGCTCGCATGTGCTTGCTTTTTCTCGCTCTATGTAAAATGCTCTGTTTGTAGATTTTTAAAAGTATGCAAGAGCAATTGCACCATACGTAAAATTCTACGAATAATACTGTGCATGTTTTTTTCCTTGTTTTATTTTAGCAAGCCTAAGAAAATAATTCGGGGCATGTTCGATAAATAACGCTGAGAGAGAGAGAGAGAGAGAGAGAGAGAGAGAGAGAGAGAGAGAGAAACACTTTGAATGCGTATGACAAGCCTGCAATTATACATATATCTGTAGTATTCTTCTAATTCTTAGCGAATGAAGTCTTTTCGGTAATATATAATTTACAGAACATTTTCCGTAACACGAATTTGTACACTGTCCTCGACACGAGTGTAAAAATCCGCACACAATCTCAAGGTACATCCAATTTACGTATCGGGAATAAAAAAGGTAATATCCAATAAGTATATTATTGGAATATATACTCCATTTCTATCTTGTCTTATGGAGTTCTTCCATCTCTTCGTCCCCGCTACTATCGACTCCATTTTCTTCCAATCTTCGTTTCTTTGCATACGATGGCTGCACCACATCCTCATCATAATTCAGACCGAGATCTTTACGTCGTTTCTCACAGTACTTCAGTAACCTCATACCTGCTCTGTATACGTAACTATTTTTAAAATAACATAGACAAACTCTTAGATGTTATACTGTGTTGGTTGTTCGGAGGCTAAAGATTTTGATCGTACTTCCATAATTACTACAAGTTCTTGTGTTTCGTTTCAATATTCTCGACGTTGCTTTAAACTATGAACTTTTACAAAACACATACGCTATTACATAACATAAAGAAAGAACTTTCTATTATTTTATTAGATTCACTTATTCGACACTTTAAATTATTATCCGAATTATTAAATTTTTCTTCAAAAGAATAAATATTATAAAATAGCAGAAACAGTATGAACATGGTACCTCAATTTTTGGCAGCTCATCTCACAATCTCTGGCATCCGAACTGTACACATTAAAGTACAGTAGGGTCAGCTATAGCGCGCAAGATACTCAATTTTCTTCAGTTAAAAAAAAAAAATATATATATATATAAAATAATAATAATAAAGAAAACATATTCCTTGTTTGCACACATATTTCTTCTGGTATAATTTATTTTGTATTATCGCATTATACGAAACCCTACTGCACTTATATTATTCATACTTACTTATAAACTGCACTATGTTCTTCATTATAAGCTTGACAATTATCAAACACTAAATGACAATCGCTGAAAAAGTGTTCTAATGTTTCGTATTCTCCATTGTTGAGTTTGTATTTAATTGTACCGAAATCCATGGGATTCGTAATAATATCGTGATAATCCGGGACTTCGTCTTTTGTAACGGGTGACAGAAAAGGCCACGAGTCTCTATGGTGCCTGATGTCGGTAAGTAAATCTTGCAGTCTTGTCATACATCCTTTAATCGAACCCTTATCTTCTTGTTCTATTTCAGCAGCCCTTTTTGCAGCTCGCCTAGTCTGCCTTGGTTCCGTGTCCTCTGAATTGTTACTATCTAAATATGAAATTTCTTCTCGTTAAATTCTGATAGTCAAAAATTAAATGGAATACAATTAATAGAACAGACAAAGCGTTCAAAAGTATATGAAAATTCAAATGGAACACTCTGCACAGACTTTTGAAGAAGCGATATAGTAGAGCTCCATTTATATGAATCTGTGCGAGGCGAGTTGATTCTCATAATCACTTGTCCCCAACCATCNTTCGATAACTAAGAGAGAGAGAGAGAGAGAGAGAGAGAGAGAGAGAGAGAGAGAGAAACACTTTGAATGCGTATGACAAGCCTGCAATTATACATATATCTGTAGTATTCTTCTAATTCTTAGCGAATGAAGTCTTTTCGGTAATATATAATTTACAGAACATTTTCCGTAACACGAATTTGTACACTGTCCTCGACACGAGTGTAAAAATCCGCACACAATCTCAAGGTACATCCAATTTACGTATCGGGAATAAAAAAGGTAATATCCAATAAGTATATTATTGGAATATATACTCCATTTCTATCTTGTCTTATGGAGTTCTTCCATCTCTTCGTCCCCGCTACTATCGACTCCATTTTCTTCCAATCTTCGTTTCTTTGCATACGATGGCTGCACCACATCCTCATCATAATTCAGACCGAGATCTTTACGTCGTTTCTCACAGTACTTCAGTAACCTCATACCTGCTCTGTATACGTAACTATTTTTAAAATAACATAGACAAACTCTTAGATGTTATACTGTGTTGGTTGTTCGGAGGCTAAAGATTTTGATCGTACTTCCATAATTACTACAAGTTCTTGTGTTTCGTTTCAATATTCTCGACGTTGCTTTAAACTATGAACTTTTACAAAACACATACGCTATTACATAACATAAAGAAAGAACTTTCTATTATTTTATTAGATTCACTTATTCGACACTTTAAATTATTATCCGAATTATTAAATTTTTCTTCAAAAGAATAAATATTATAAAATAGCAGAAACAGTATGAACATGGTACCTCAATTTTTGGCAGCTCATCTCACAATCTCTGGCATCCGAACTGTACACATTAAAGTACAGTAGGGTCAGCTATAGCGCGCAAGATACTCAATTTTCTTCAGTTAAAAAAAAAAAATATATATATATATAAAATAATAATAATAAAGAAAACATATTCCTTGTTTGCACACATATTTCTTCTGGTATAATTTATTTTGTATTATCGCATTATACGAAACCCTACTGCACTTATATTATTCATACTTACTTATAAACTGCACTATGTTCTTCATTATAAGCTTGACAATTATCAAACACTAAATGACAATCGCTGAAAAAGTGTTCTAATGTTTCGTATTCTCCATTGTTGAGTTTGTATTTAATTGTACCGAAATCCATGGGATTCGTAATAATATCGTGATAATCCGGGACTTCGTCTTTTGTAACGGGTGACAGAAAAGGCCACGAGTCTCTATGGTGCCTGATGTCGGTAAGTAAATCTTGCAGTCTTGTCATACATCCTTTAATCGAACCCTTATCTTCTTGTTCTATTTCAGCAGCCCTTTTTGCAGCTCGCCTAGTCTGCCTTGGTTCCGTGTCCTCTGAATTGTTACTATCTAAATATGAAATTTCTTCTCGTTAAATTCTGATAGTCAAAAATTAAATGGAATACAATTAATAGAACAGACAAAGCGTTCAAAAGTATATGAAAATTCAAATGGAACACTCTGCACAGACTTTTGAAGAAGCGATATAGTAGAGCTCCATTTATATGAATCTGTGCGAGGCGAGTTGATTCTCATAATCACTTGTCCCCAACCATCGACTATGACTTTTCGTTCATATAAAAGGATTTAGTTCAGAACAGAGTTCAATTAATCGGGCACTGATCAAATTTTTTAATTAATATAAACGAAGTTCCGCTGTACTTTTAATTATATCTTTCTCATCGTATAAAACGTTGAATAAAATCTAGAATTTCCTGTTGCACAAATATTCACGCTCCGATGACAGGAATCATTCTGAAGCTTTAAAAAATCTGAATTTCTATGTGAAGAAGTTTGACGTGAGATTACTTGTATTATGTAAGATGGGAAACACAAATTGAATAAAGATTTTACCTAAATTACTTTTAGTGCAAAATGGGGGTCTTCTGCGAATACATGCAGCGAAGCCTTACCTATTTGCCATTAAGAACGATCTATGCTAAGAATGCCCATAAAAAATCGATCTTTCAAAGATCCGTCCTAGATCGCGGCAATATCGGCATCCCTAATCTATATTATACTCTAATGAATAATGGATAAAAAAATGTATGAAGCGATACATTGTCTATTCGGTATTAGTGCATTTCTAAACAACAAGAAAAATGCAAATACTAAAAGAAAATAGAATAGAGTCTCAATACAGACCGTCCCAGTCTGTAGATTCTGTAGTGAGGAGGCTTTTGGCAAAACCATGGATGCGAGAGCGAGCTGCTGCAGCGCAGAGTCTCTCCTTGTCCCTTTCGCGCCCCCTCACTAACAACACAATTCAAATTAAGAAACTGATTCATTATACACCTCTGACAAAAAGTATTCTGTTAGGGGTAGATTTAAAATTTAGCATCTAACATTAAAATATAGGTCGATCAAATATTTAAACGCTCTCAAGACTTAATAATACTAATGTTTCCTGCCGTGATTACGCTTATATTACAGTTTTTATCATTTACCGTGTTTCGTGTTAGTCCTCCTATCTCTTTTATCTTTGCAATCCGAACAAATCCATCTTCCACGAGGATGTCTTATTATGGGAGGTTCTATACATTCTAAATGATAACAGTTTGAACACGAATCGCAGTTGATTAATTTGCCACCGCTTCTACACGTAGTGCATACATGTATTTGACTACTTCTGGAATAGAATCATCGATAGTCAAATATAATCGACCGACGCGGTAATTGTAAGTGCTTTATAAACAAATTCTTACATATTTCCAAATCTCTCATCTTCTAATTCGTCAGCTTCGTGATCCTCTTCCTCGCTCTCGAGAACACGCTTCGCGCGATTATGCCGAGTCTCTTTGGTCAATATAACTTCCTCTTCTAATTCATCTTCAAATTTCTTTCGTTTCTTAAGCTTCGACTTCGATTTGGTCGGTCGTTTACAAGTTTTACAGTACCAATCTCCATCTGGCACAGCCTACAAATAGACATACGCGTGTTAATCGTGATATTTAAAGAACTGTATACTCAAGGGATAGGCAAATAATTACCGTGAGTTTCGGTTTTAAACAATACAAATGGTGGCCTTTGTTACATCCATCGCAGAGTAACATTTTGTCGGCGTCCCCGCGTCGTCTGCATATGTAACAATGGGCATTCAAAACGCTCTTGTTCCACGAAATACAGTTCTCTAAAGTAGTAAAATGCACAAACAACTGGGACCAGCTTGTGGATGCCAAAAGAGACTGTTCCCATCTTGCTTTGTGATCATCAAGATGCTTTTTATCTTTTTCATTAATTAACGGTTTGATTAAGTACTTCTGATCAATGGCATGATATAATTGCAAAATAGCATCAGCCAAATCTTTGATGAGCGCTTGTTGCTTGTTGTCGGGAAAAGGTTTCGTTTCATTTGTTAAACCCGAAGATTTTCTTGAATTGTAAGGCTTTACGTTAACATTTTCGCCTTCGGAGTCTGGGGTACTCGGCCTACTACCTCTAGTTTCTCTTTTTATGTTATTCAATGTTACGTTGAAAGCACTATCTCCGTCTACTTCGTTTGTACCATACACTAATTTATCACATTGTCCTTGATTAAATCTATTACCAACTGCACGCCTCCAGGTATCGCGATTATTTACTTTTAAACTTCCCAAACAGCCTGCTTTTATTTTGTCTTCGAGCTCTAAAATAAAATCTCTCAAGGTAAATTCAAAAACTTCCTCGACAGGCACGTCGGGAGGATAATTTAAATTAGCGTTCTCATATTTATTTTTCTTCGTGGTTATGACAGAAGAAAGTTCCTTGATCGGTGCTGAAAACTATATCAGAAGTTCGTGGACATTTTCCAATTGTACTTTGGAAAGAACACTGTGACTACGTAACAATAGTTCTGAATATATTATAATGTATAAAATACTCACCACTGCAGGATTGAGTTTATGCCTCGGACATTCTTCGATGATAGATGTCAAGCTTGCCATTTCATGCATAATATTATTTCTGAGTTCGCCCTCTCTAATGCCTCGTTTACTCAAACCATTCACCAGAGCCTCTATATCCTCTTGCGTTCCAAAGAAACTCCACTTTGGTCCTGGTCTCTCCCAGTGGACTGGACACTCTTTGTCTCCTGTGCAAGCCATCAAATTCTTCCTCATGTCAGAAAATTCTTGCTTAATTTCCTTCTTAGACATTACATCTTTCCTTGGAGATTTCAATCCATTTTTATCAGAGAACGTTACTTTCTTGGGAGATTTCTTCGCCTTTTTAAAACTATTTTCTTTGTCGCTGAACTCGTCTTCGAATTTGTTTCTTAAATATTCGTACGTAGATTGTCCACCTTGCAGTTCAGGTTGATAAGGCGTACCCTCGGGCAGACAAGTGCCTACGCCAGTCCCATCGTTCTCAACAAATATTCCTGGACAAACAGATTTAATTTATTAAACTATTTAATCCTTAAAACGAAATGAAACAAACTGAGAAATGTATATATACATATATATATATATACATATATGTATATACCTGGTATTGACAACAGTCTCCAATATCTACGATAAGCTCTATCAGAGCCCAAGTAAAGCATCATTTGATCGTCTTTAGTTGCTTGCTGTAATTCTTTCAACTTCTTCTCATATTCTTCCTTCCTTTTTTCCTCCTCGACAACACCACGTGTTACTTTTTTCGATATGTTTTTCATATCTTTATCCTTCTCTCGTTCCCGCATTTTTTCTTTCTCTTCTTTTTCTTTCTTTTGCTCGGCCAACACGAAAGATCTTAGTTCTTTTTTCGCTTGATGGAGTTTCTCGTGTTTCTCTTCGATCAAATCTCGTAACGAAGCAAAAGTAAGCAATTGGTTGATGAGGCACGCAGCTACTTTCAATTTGTCGTCGAAGCTAAGCTCGTGGACGCTGCGGTAGCTCAACTGTTTCAAAATGTGTGCTTCTTTCGTTTTCATCAAGAGTGCGGGATCATCCTGATTCGTGTATCCACCTGAAAAGGAACATAATTACACTATGATATCTAAAAACACTTCGATTTCATCAAAGCCTACCTCTTTGAGAATATCTCCATTTAGAAGCAGCCTCGCCTATTCGCTCGTCAGAACTTAATAAGTGCAGCCTTAAGATCTCGCTTAAAGTTGTGTGATCTAACGCCAACTCAGACAGTTTACACCGCTGATATGTTGCCAATCCTTTTGTCACGGTTGAAGCACACTCACTGACAGTATTATCATTTACAACTGTATCGGATGCCTGAATCTCATCTTCCTCGTCCGATTGATACTTGAAGATACTTGACAATAGCAACTGCAAAAGGTCGCTCCAAGGCCCAGATGATTCCTTTGCTAACAATGCCTTTTCCAGCAGGTCCAAAGTAATACCACCAGAAAAGTATGAATCGACTTCCAATTCTTCATTGAAAAATTCTAGAAATTCTAAGATCATACAGCAGTCGCCAAACCTGTTGTTCGGCAAAATAGTTTCAACGGGTACAGGTTGCGGAATCGGAGAGAGATCCTCGCATTCAAGATCTTCCCTCGGCTTATTCCACTGTTTCACGTATGCAGCCAAAGCAGCTAGTTTCAGTTTCTCCTCTTTCTTACGTTCTCTATTTTCCAATATTATTTCTTCTTTACGTTTTGCTTTCTCTTCGAGTGCTTTTGCTTTCTCTTCGAGTGCTTTTGTTTTCTCTTCGAGTGCTTTTGCTTTAAGCTCATCTTTGAATACCTTCCCATTCGTTCTGTAAACAAACTAAGCATTAATATACCGTCGGAAGGCCACGTTTTATCTCTTAGGTATTTTATTACCTCTTAGGGGGGTTTTAAACGCATTACTTACCTCTTAGGTTTTTTAAACGTTTTTATATCTACTCCCGTTTGATTTACCTTCTTCAGAGGGTTTGGCTTCTCTACTGATTTTTGCTTTGAAATATCTGCGGTAAGAAATTTTTCTATCGTTTCCTGTTTGTGTTTTATAGGTCTTTTAGTGCGCGACGTGAAATCAGGTGGAGGACCGGCAAATATCGTATCAAAACGTACTTTACTAATTCCATACTTTTGTAAAACGCTGTCCTGAAAATACATGAAACATACATTTTATTAATGTATACTTTGCATAGAATTTATACATTTTAGCAGTAAAAACTACTAACTTTAACAATCCAAATACCACTCTCATTCTGCTCGCATAATTGACGTAGAAATATTTTGTTACGCTCTCTGCTATATTGTTGCTTTTTTCTTCTTACTTGTCCTGCTTCAACGATCATAAGTTGGCTAACATCGGATTCACCGCAGTCCAACTGTTCCACTTCGTAACGAAACAATTTTGCTGGTGGATGATAATATTGTTCTTGTGGACTCCTAACAGAACCAATCGATATATTATTCGTTTCTAAGATTCATGTTACTAGCGACAAATTACCGATATGCGATACTAATTATTAAGAATACAAAGTATCGAGCTGAACTGTATGTAAATGAAATATGTCTGTACCTATTTTCTTTCGCATACACTTTTATCTGCTGTTCCGAAGGTGCAATAACTTGAAGAACATGAGATTCACACCAAGAATCTTCTGTGAAACTTGCCTCTACCATTTCTCCAACAAAAAAACGATCTCTTGAAAACTGAAACACATCTTCTACCACCTCGTTAAAAGAAGATCTATTCGTTTTACTGGCAAGGTACAATATAGGAATTCGTAACTAGAAACACAAAATATATATCGTTACAATTCGATAAACATGTAAATTAGTTTCTGACAAAATACACAACAACGAACAAAATACAATACCTCCATAGGAAATTCTTTTAGACTTTTCTTTGCATTCTCTTCGCATTGCAAAGCCTCTTCGAAAGTCATGTTGCTCCTTCCGGTAATGCTGCACGACCATATGAGCGAATTGCATAAGATAATTCTTTCACAGAACTCGCTGTAACCAAAAAGCAAATAAAAGGAAACCTTTTAAATAGCAGACACAGCTGTGCACTGCTGATAAAAAGAATGGATTAGATTTTGAAAAATAAAAGGCACAAAGATAGAAACAAGTGTCAACGACCGAAGCATACATTCAGAAACCGAAACAGAGTGCCTCCAGCACAACACGTGCATCTTCGAAGAATTGTTTTAGGCTAAAGCAATGGCAACCTATGCGAACGATCGGTCGCGTTGTACGGCAAAAGTTGCATCCCGATCGGTTCGACAATCGCGAGAAATCGCAATAAATATATAAGAACGGAAACATCAGCCTCGATGTGTGATCCTATATACTTTCTGAAGACGAGTATAATTAAACGGAACGCAATCGAAGGAAAACGAAATATTCGCGCTTAATGTGTCGCGTCAGCGAAATCGTGGGCACGTCTCAACACAGTCTTGACTGTCGTGATCTTACTTGTAGTCCTTGAAGATTTCGTTGGTAACCTCACAGTGGTATACTTCGTCGTCATCTTTGAAGTCCGAGGAGACGTGAAGTCGTTGGAATGGCTGTTTGCGAAGCAACGGCATGTCAGTGTTAGCGATTCCGTTGACGATCGAACGGGGTTTACCGTCCTATTTCGAACCGTTCCGGGAAATCAATTTCACGTTGAAGACAGTACACTGTACGTATGTATGCACTACGCTTTTCCCGGGGTACCGCGGGCACATGCGACATGCGACGTACGCGAATAACTTGTGACCGCGACTGCGACTGCTTGCGACCGCGAATTAAGGATATCGTTAATTACCGTCGGAGCCTTGTGTCACGATTCACGATCGACTGGTGAACGCGCCGTTCCCGTGCCCGTGACTCGAACTCGAACCGTTCACGCGTTAGAAACGTGAAGCCTCGATAATATTTCGTGAAACATTTCGAGTCCCAAACAAAAGCACAATTTAACGGTGCTCGTGGAAGCGCACAACAGCGCACATTCACATCTGGCACTCTGAAGCCGGAAACCAATAAAAAGCGATCGCTACCAACTTAATTGAACTGCGATTCAAAACGCGGGAAACGCAGATGTAGCCAATACATTCGTCCTTTGACCGATTCGTTGATAGGCTCCGCCGACTTTGAACGATTACAACTTCTTGAATTCTTATATCTCATAAAAATATCAACCATGCAACACGTTTTTGCAAAAATATAATACATACATATAAAACTAAAGGCAATACTTTTTTCCTCTGTTGGCAGCTAGTATCTGGATCGCATTATAATTTGCTTCGTTTGGCGGGAACAAATGATCACAAACTGTCACAAACGGCTGGTCGATCTTATTTTTCATGATTTGAATTCGACTCGTGTATATATGACCACATACTTGACGCATATGTACTACGTACACACGTATCTAAATAATAGGAGAAGAGTACGCTAAGAAATCAACAAATCCTTATTCGAAATATATTTTTATTAAAAAGTATCATTCCAACCATTCTGTTATATACTGACATTTCGTGGGTGTGATGTCGCCTGTGTCACAACAATTTTTTCTTACCTATGTAGAAATATGATTACTATATTATTAAGCGTCCTAATTGTAAAAACGGTATTTGAATAATTTAAAGAACTTACAGGGCAAACACCACAAGTGGATTTAATTAATCCAGGTGCATGTAATAGTGGTTCTACTGCTCTATATAAATTACTTCCGTCATCCGAGAGAATACGTTCTACTTTCCCATCGTAAACCAATGTGTTCAATATCATCTCTAAATCTTCGACCGACAACTTTACCTGTAATTTAGTTGTCGCACGATTAAGGATTAACTATAAAACTATTCTTTATTGTGAAATAAATATTCTTGTTCATTCTTTGGAGTCATAAATATTAACGAAAAAAATGTAACATTTTATTACTACACCGAAGTAAAACCATAGGAGTATTAGAACCTTGCTTATTCCTAGATCAGAAATAAATTTCCACACTTCTTTGGAAGAAGCGAATGTAATATTTCTGGCTGCAATTGGTCCACCTCTGCAAGAACTTATTTGTTCTCTCTTCTTTTCTAAAAATCTGTAACATTGTTGATTGAGGACATCGACAAATTCAGCTTCAAAGTCTTGATCTTGATACCAGGCACCACCGGTAACAGACGTGTCTGGTTCCAAATTGTATAGCATATATACTTTCTTTTTACTCGCAGCCACAGATTTGACAGCTTTAATGAATTTTTTAGTTTCCAAACTTTTCAGGATCTTATTCAATTGTGTTGGCATCAAGTTGGATTTGAATCTTATGTCTCGAATCCAAATTCCTTTATTTCCTGCTTCTTCTATTATAGTATATACAATCTTTTCTTCGTTGTCTGCTCCTTTAGCTACTTTTGCTTTAGAAGGATCTTTTAAACGATACAATAAAGATCCTCCTTGTTTAAATAAATCAAAATGACCCTGAGATAGAAGTTTATTTATAATTTGTGCTCTTTGAACAGGTTGTAGATCTGGCATCTCAGCTGTCAAATCTTTGTCAGATATACCTTTGGGCCTGGTTTGAGCCAATTCAATGATTCTGAAATTTTAAACGATCTAATAAAATTGCCGCATAAATTTGAATCTTCTAATCTTCATCAAACGAATATGATTATTACGTCATTCTTTATATGATTTATTCCGTGATAAACAATGGTGTACATAACCTATTTGTCACGTACATAAATACTAAGGCAACATTTCATAAAAGAAAAGGGGAAGATTTACTTCTGTTCAATCGCCTCCATCGAATCAACATCTGCAACATTTCCATCTTGTTCCTTCGAAGTGCTTGCTTCTGATTCCATTGAATTTGACTAATCTACACGATTATCTCATTACATGTACTTCTTATGGTTTATAGGTTAAGTCATCGTATGATTTAGTTATTTACAAATCAGTACATATTTTCACGCGATTCATGCAAGCAACGAAATTTTCAACTATTATGGACGAGTTTTCAAATACGCCAGAAACTGAAGAATCTTTAGACATCGCTGCTAAAGATTGGGATAGAGTTATAAATGCGGCTAAAAAGGTATTATCTCGATACAATTAACAATGTACTACATGTATATGTATTTTTATTTTGATGTTTTCTAAGATTGGCTACAAGGAAGGTCTTGAAAATGGGTCAGACGCTGTTTTTCAAGAAGGTTTTGATAAGGGATACGAAGAAGGTTTCAAAAGTGCTTTCAATTTAGGGAAATTTAAAAGTTTATTAAACGCTGTAACACAAGATATCAAGTATCCTCAAGATGTAAAGGAGATTCTTGATAAAACTAGAAGAGGAGCGTGTCATATCTGTTTAATGGAATCTCAAAATCCAAATTATGAAACAGAAAAATTATTTTCACAAGTGATCGACGAACAAAGAGAACATTCTACAAAAATAATGCAAAGATTGTGTCAATATTTTCATTTAAATGTGAAAGATTTGAATATTAATGAATCAACTATATTGGAAGGACAAAACTGTGTTTCAAATCTAACTGAAAGTAATTAATTCAATGATATAAATTAGTATTTCATATGTTTTTATTAGTATTTGTAACATTTTATGATTAAATTGTAAGTAAAGAATAGTGGCATTTTTATAAATACAGTCCTTCTGGCGAACCCTCTTTCTTCCGATACAAAACGCTTTCTTTAGACTTTTTGAAATCATCGCTGGTAACTTTCATACGACGTTCTCGCAGTGCCATCAAACCAGCTTCGGTACATATAGCCTACGAATGAGAAATTAATTTCATAATCGTGCAAAGACTTCGTTTTAAGAACTAAAGATCCTCACCTTTATGTCTGCACCCGAGAGATCATCCTTAGCCATAATCAATTCTGCTAAATTAACATCAGGTGCTAAAGTCATTCTATTGGTATGGATGCCAAAGATTCGTCTCTTTGTTTTTTCATCAGGCAATGGAAATTCGATTTTTCTGTCGATGCGACCTGGTCTGATCAATGCTGGATCTAAAGTTTCAATTCTGTTTGTTGCCATTACAACCTTGACATCTCCTCTACTATCAAAGCCTAAATGAAAGGAGAAACAATAATTATAAGAATTTATAATTTGTATAAATTATGTCGAGTATCAAGTTACTATGTACCATCGAGTTGATTGAGAAGCTCCAACATAGTTCTTTGAATTTCACGTTCCCCTCCACTATTACTATCGTATCGTTTTGTACCTACAGCATCTATTTCGTCTATGAATACAATTGACGGGGCATGTTCTTCTGCAACTCTAAATAATTCTCTCACGAGTTTTGGTCCATCGCCCAAGTACTTTTGTATCAATTCTGAGCCAACAACTCTTAAAAATGTAGCAGAAGTTTGATTTGCTACAGCTTTTGCTAATAATGTCTTTCCAGTTCCTGGAGGTCCATAAAGTATCACTCCCTTAGGCGGTTTGATACCCATTTCTTCATAATACTCTGGATGAGTTAACGGCAGTTCTACAGATTCCTTAATTTCTTGAATTTGTGTATCCAACCCTAAACATTAAAAATTTAATAATTCATAAAATTAAAACCAACGAAGATATTTATGTGTGCTATATTTTTAAGGGCAGAAATTTCAAAAGCTATATAAGGTACATCGATGCATTTTCTAGTTCGTAATGCAAGCATCGATACCCACCGCCAATGTCGGCATAGGTCTCTTGCGGAGCTTTTTCCAGCTTCATTACGGTAACCATAGGATCTGTGTCATCGCCCAGAACTCCAACAACCGCGTGAACCTTATGATTCAATAAGACAGAACAGCCAGGTTCTAACTGATCTTTGTCTACAAACGATAAGATAGACACATAATGCTCCGAACCAACAGACGTTGAAACTATCGCATGATTATCATCAATTATTTCTTCTAATGTCCCAACAGACATTGGGGTCCCTCTTAAATCATCGACCTTGGACCTCTCCTCTTCGTTCTTCTCTTCCTGAGGCTTTAGTCTCTCTTGATTCCTAATGAACTCTTCTTCCATTAATAAATAATCTTTTATACGTTCCAGTTTCAAAAGTTTCAATCTGCAACGAGTATGAGGAGTGACCTGCGGCAGTTTCAAAGCAGCATCAGGCCCCTTTATACGTCTCTTCTTTTTTCCCACTCTCGTTGGAATCGGAGGTTCGTACTTCTTTTTCTTATCTTTGTCATCCTTCCTGTCACCCCCGGTACCACCAGTACCAGATTGATTCTGACCCTGTTTCAATTAACACAATATGAAAAACTAAATTTTAGTATACTTCAACACTTGCAAGTAGTTTCATTCTGAAGTTTACATTATGTTATTTGATGCAAAAGAGTTGATGTTACATATAAAATTAACCTAAAATGTCAATCGAGAAGGAAATGTGTTTAGAAAAGATAAAGCTTCATAATATCGAGTATGTTAATATTGCGTACGCATAGTTGAATACTGTATTAATCGATCGATTTGTGTTTAACTAAAAGAGTTTGTAAATATTACCATTTTACGTTCACTGTATGACCATTAAACGAAACGGCGTAGTCATTCCCGGTCGGTGTTGGTGTATGTATGCGGTCGATTGTCGGCGTATGTGCAAGCAGAATCGATAGTAGATTCGATATTTTTCTCTTTATGTATGCGGTATCGACTATGTTGCGTATTATAATCTGAGGCAATAACGACAAGAGGGAGATTCGAATATAAAATGTAATGTTATAGTTATAGTTACATATTTCATAGCTTATGTATATTTTCATCCAAACGCAATAGTCTAGTATGAATAGAGAGATGAAAGAGATGAGAGAGAGAGAGAGAGAGAGAGAGAGAGAGAGAGAGAGAGTTCCCATGAAATTCCTCGATAACAGTTTAGTTGGCGAGACTAATTGAGGAATGCAGGAGAAGTCATGTAGCCTCTTGAAAGATCTCCAATTTCATGTAGACAGAGCCGAAACTCTGAGCCCTGAGCCCTTCTGGATAGCAAGTTATAAATCCTCAGTCAAGAATCTCTCGGACCTCTTTCTCGTTCAGTCCTCGACCCCTAAATCTTTGCGCGTAAGTCTCGTTTTGATGGACCTCTTCCCTCGCGCGTTTATCACTCCACAAAAAAAAATTACTAGGGTTGCCTGGATGTATCCACATAAATTTCTCTAATGTTCCAACTTCAAGGCGATTGGAGGTCACCGAACAGTTGTCCGATAGAGCTGAAGTTTTGCACAACCCGTTTTTCTGTTCATTGGAACAGGATTGAGAGGTGGATACATAGGGCCTCATGGTTTCGTTCTGTCTCTCTCTCTCGATCATCTCTCGTTCTTTTTTTAAAGTAACCGCGTATGTACATATGTACATACAATGTATGTATTCAATGTCCATTTTTTGCAGAATTTTTGATATCATGTTTTCAGCCTTAAGTTTATTATTAAGATTATTTCCAAACGTTTATTTATTAAGATTATTATTACTAGATATCAATGTGAGATACATATACATATTTTATCGATAATAATTTCAAAACTTGTTAAGAACTAACAACTGCTAAATGATATATTTTTAAATTGAATAATTTATAACGAACTGATTTAATATTACTTTCTCTTTTATTTAACAACAATAATTTACACGGTTGCATTCGACAATAGTTACGATCAAGTGCAAAGTATTTACCTCGCTAAAAGAAACCGATGGATAGAAGATGTGTGCAGAAAATGTAAAAACGAATTTCTAGTTAGTTGATTTTTCTGCTTCAACAATGTTGACAAGATACAGATTCGTGAAATTTTATTTCAATTATCTTGATACACTTATCCTTGCAATAAAGTATCCTCTAATTATTTTGACTAACATTTCCACGTTTTGACTAACACTTCGCTGATCAAAGTCATCCAAATAAAAATACATTTTTAGAAAACAATGAAATGATTATTACCGACTCTCGTGGTTGATGTTATCCTCATGTTTAAAGAATGTAAGAACACGTAAAATTGTAGTAACAAAAACATATTGTCCAGCAATATAAACGACGCGAGAAATAAATATATACCGCTTATACAATAAATAATATTTCGGAAGGCAAAAAATTGAATTCCACACCTCTGATGAAACGTCGTAAATTTCTTCCATTGTACTCTTATTTTGTCATTGTAATTCAAAGATATTTAATAGTGCATTTCCTTTGTTCTTTATATTTCAATTCTTACAAACTGTGTTCTAAATTTTCGCCACAAGAATGTTAAAATATATATTTGTTTTTTTTATACCAATATGATTCTTTATGTGCAGCTCTTAGAGCGGAGCAACTGCAACGAAAGAAAAATATTGGTTTAATTATGTCGCAGCATGTGTGTCACGGAAATCTTGAATTTGAATACTGAAATATGAGCTAACTAAGGTAATACTATGATAATATGATAAAAGTTTTAAAGTAAAAACGATTCAAATGTTAGTTTTGTATTCGTGTGATATTTTTCCTTACTTCCCCTTATCACAATGGTCGGTACGTGTATTCAGGAGTATCTTCGATTTATAAGTAAAAGCCTAGATGANGCAATAGTCTAGTATGAATAGAGAGATAAGAGAGAAGAGAGAGAGAGAGAGAGAGAGAGAGAGAGAGAGAGAGAGTTCCCATGAAATTCCTCGATAACAGTTTAGTTGGCGAGACTAATTGAGGAATGCAGGAGAAGTCATGTAGCCTCTTGAAAGATCTCCAATTTCATGTAGACAGAGCCGAAACTCTGAGCCCTGAGCCCTTCTGGATAGCAAGTTATAAATCCTCAGTCAAGAATCTCTCGGACCTCTTTCTCGTTCAGTCCTCGACCCCTAAATCTTTGCGCGTAAGTCTCGTTTTGATGGACCTCTTCCCTCGCGCGTTTATCACTCCACAAAAAAAAATTACTAGGGTTGCCTGGATGTATCCACATAAATTTCTCTAATGTTCCAACTTCAAGGCGATTGGAGGTCACCGAACAGTTGTCCGATAGAGCTGAAGTTTTGCACAACCCGTTTTTCTGTTCATTGGAACAGGATTGAGAGGTGGATACATAGGGCCTCATGGTTTCGTTCTGTCTCTCTCTCTCGATCATCTCTCGTTCTTTTTTTAAAGTAACCGCGTATGTACATATGTACATACAATGTATGTATTCAATGTCCATTTTTTGCAGAATTTTTGATATCATGTTTTCAGCCTTAAGTTTATTATTAAGATTATTTCCAAACGTTTATTTATTAAGATTATTATTACTAGATATCAATGTGAGATACATATACATATTTTATCGATAATAATTTCAAAACTTGTTAAGAACTAACAACTGCTAAATGATATATTTTTAAATTGAATAATTTATAACGAACTGATTTAATATTACTTTCTCTTTTATTTAACAACAATAATTTACACGGTTGCATTCGACAATAGTTACGATCAAGTGCAAAGTATTTACCTCGCTAAAAGAAACCGATGGATAGAAGATGTGTGCAGAAAATGTAAAAACGAATTTCTAGTTAGTTGATTTTTCTGCTTCAACAATGTTGACAAGATACAGATTCGTGAAATTTTATTTCAATTATCTTGATACACTTATCCTTGCAATAAAGTATCCTCTAATTATTTTGACTAACATTTCCACGTTTTGACTAACACTTCGCTGATCAAAGTCATCCAAATAAAAATACATTTTTAGAAAACAATGAAATGATTATTACCGACTCTCGTGGTTGATGTTATCCTCATGTTTAAAGAATGTAAGAACACGTAAAATTGTAGTAACAAAAACATATTGTCCAGCAATATAAACGACGCGAGAAATAAATATATACCGCTTATACAATAAATAATATTTCGGAAGGCAAAAAATTGAATTCCACACCTCTGATGAAACGTCGTAAATTTCTTCCATTGTACTCTTATTTTGTCATTGTAATTCAAAGATATTTAATAGTGCATTTCCTTTGTTCTTTATATTTCAATTCTTACAAACTGTGTTCTAAATTTTCGCCACAAGAATGTTAAAATATATATTTGTTTTTTTTATACCAATATGATTCTTTATGTGCAGCTCTTAGAGCGGAGCAACTGCAACGAAAGAAAAATATTGGTTTAATTATGTCGCAGCATGTGTGTCACGGAAATCTTGAATTTGAATACTGAAATATGAGCTAACTAAGGTAATACTATGATAATATGATAAAAGTTTTAAAGTAAAAACGATTCAAATGTTAGTTTTGTATTCGTGTGATATTTTTCCTTACTTCCCCTTATCACAATGGTCGGTACGTGTATTCAGGAGTATCTTCGATTTATAAGTAAAAGCCTAGATGAACAGAATATAATACAATGTGTTCAAAAATGTTTTAGTAGTGACGAGAGACGTATTATTTTAAGCGATTCAGTGAAAATGTTTACGGTGCTTAAAGGCCGGCTAAGATAATTCTGGGATCTTCCACAGCGTCCTTGATCTTCCTTAAGAACAATACAGCTTCACGTCCATCGATCAATCGGTGATCATACGTCAAAGCTACGTACATCATTGGACGAATTTTGATCTAAAAAATAATGGTAATCGTAACAGCGATTCTTTAAAAAAATCTAATTTCAAAACTGAACTATATTAATCACCTCGCCCTTTACTGCAACAGGTCTATCAAATACAGCGTGCATGCCAAGAATTGCACTTTGTGGTGGATTAATAATAGGTGTTCCCATGAGAGAACCGAAGACACCGCCATTACTTATTGTGAATGTTCCGCCATCCATATCTTCGACAGATATTTTACCTTTCCTTGCTTTATCACCAATTGCTGCTAAAGCGATTTCAATTTCAGCGAAGTTCTTACTCTCGACGCTACGAAGTACTGGTACGACGAGACCTTTCGGCGTTGCAACTGCAACGCTGATGTCGACGTAGTCTCTATAAACTATGTCAGTGCCGTCTATTACAGCATTCACTACCGGTTGTTCTTTCAAAGCATAGGCACTTGCTGCAATAAATGGACTCATAAATCCAAGCTTCAAACCGTATTTTTTAGTGAAGCTTTCCTGATTTGTTTTACGAAATTCCATCAGGCGACTGTATATAAAGAAAAAGGTGATTAGCTAATAAGAATGGTAGAGAACAAATAAATTACGACAAACATGATACAACCTCATATCAATTTCATTAAACGTTGTTAACATAGCGTTCGTATTTTGAGCATCTTTTAATCGTTCCGCAATGCGTAGTCGCATTCTATTCATTTTCACACGCTGCTCTGTCCTTGTGCCAATTATTTCCCGTGTATAATCATCTGGTGGCAACTGAACTTTGGCACCTTCCAGAGACTGAAGAAGTTAACAAATTTCTATATAGGCTCAAGAGTAGATAATTTATTCTTTACTTTTCTTGCTAGAATTAGCATTTATTTTGTTAACGAACACATTGTATTTGTACGACAATTTTACCTGTGCATGTTTAATCGCAGCAACTGGCATCGAGGCTGCAGGTGCTTGTGGTGGAGGAGGCTTAGCAGCTGGAGGCGGTACAGCCGATGGTGGCGGTGGTGGTGGTGGTGGTGGAGGAGGAGGAGGAGGAGTTGCCGAAGACGTAGGAGGAGAAGGTGGCGGAGGAGGTGGAGGTGCAGCAGCAGGTTTTTGAGCTTCTGCTGCTGGTGCAGTTCCACCGGTAGCACCAATGTCAATGGTACACAATTTTTGTCCAGGTTTTACAGTATCGCCGTCTTTGACAAATAATTCTTTAATAACACCCCCGCCAGGCGATGGTACAGGAACTGAAGTCTATGAAAAAAATTATCGCAAGTTAATTATCGATGAGTTACAAGACTGGATGTATTTGTTTTAAAAATTTTACCTTATCCGTTTCAATCTCACACAGAACGTCATCTTCTTTTACTTGGTCGCCAACTTTCTTTTCCCATCTTACATCTCCCTCGCTTACACTTTCTGCAAACGCGGGTACTACAACTTCCCTTATTTCCCCTGTTGCGATCAAATACAATATTATTAAGGCAGACTTTGCGATGCTATTTATAGTCGAGTTCCCGAATGCCTAGAAACTGACTTACATAACGAAGCTGTTGAACGTATGTGTCTTGCCTGGTCTGCCCAACATTGTAATCTCTTATATTTTGTACACCTGTATAGTTCATGTAACATCAAAATAAAATGATGTTTTTAAGCGGTCTGTAAGAAAGTATATATGCATATATATATATATCTGCGACACGCTTTATCACTTACAATTGAGAATTCTTGTTGACCACATGTTCGGTGTGGATAAATAGTATGCGCCCTACAAAAATGATTTGATACAATTAGTAGTTTATGTTCATGGTTATCTCCAACGTTGCTATGCCTCTCTATAAAGACAATGTTTAGATGTTCAAGATATCTCACCACTTTTCTTATTGTACTATCTTCGATAACACAATTAGCCTTACCTTGACTACTAAACGACCTCACAACCTGAAAAAATCGTTAATATATTTAATTGTCATTCCATCGGGCGATTCATAACTAAACCGAAGCATAAATTTGCTATTCGAAACTTGACAAAGTGTATTCGTCACACGTTTCGAATCTAATTGGCGTGAAAATATGTTTCGCGAGAACTAAGAAACATGATTGAAAATCGACCGACCGCTAATCAGTAATCGGTTGACGTTACTTCGTTATTTATATGATTCGACTTGTGCCTGACTTGTCCGAGCAATTAATAGTTTTTTCAATGACAGATCGTACGGATGGACCAAGTCGAGAAAAAGATAAGTGTTCAGATACTATTATATAATCAATGCGACAGGTAAGGGTAGTATTGCAACAATTTTGTTGGCAAATTCTACTTCAAAAGGGCGTTCTATGCTTCTTACCTAATGTACGTGTCACAGATGAGAACGATATTCGCCAATTTCTAAAATGAACTTACCTTCGTTCGTGATATACTAATTCGCGTTATTGCACGAGGCACAAGCCGCGAACAGTTGGACAGCATCGCGGCCATCCTCAGGCAGAAAATTCTTTTCAAGCGTTCGCTCGTGTTCGCTCACGACCACTCGCGACACGACTCTCGATTCTCGTTCTCGTGACTCGTCTCGTGTGGTCTCGTGTAAGAAGCGAACACGAAGCAGTTAGTAGGGAAACGGCATAGAGCTGAACCAAGCTTAAGGGAGCTGTGCGCTCGTGTGCTCTGCGGTGGGGCTGCGATCTACACATCAATTTTTATATGCATGAATTGTTCTTGCTCAACAGAATTCTCACATCCTCCCACCCTCCCACCTTTGTTTGCCGAAAACATCACAAAAATCAGTGCACACAGCTATCTGTGTACACGCGATTTTCTATGATGCGCATCGTAGCGCGCAAAACCTTAAATCATAGATCGTATAGTTTCAGTCTAAATAAGCGTAAAAACACGGAGCGTTTTCATTCTATGCAGGCAAAAGTCTTACGGAAATCTCTGATTACCTCTGATGTTCTTACACATGTGCAATATACACACGTCTAAATTGGATGAAGTTCTGCGGCGTATGTACGCATGTACATACACATATTCATATGGGACCAATTGTAGAAAAATTCGGAAGTTTCGCCTCTGCCAAAGTATCCTTTGCAATCTAGCGGTGCGCGCGCGTGCGCGCGCGTGCGTGTATCCGGTATATGTACATAAACATTCAAATTTGCTGTGATGTTGAGGGTTCGTAAAGTGTGTAAAATCATTCGCCGCGAAATTGGTGAGAACGTGACCGAAATTTGTTTAAAATTATATTGTAGACACAAGTGTATATACATATGTATTAAATGTCTTCTCATCCTACATAAATGAGATAAAAGAAATTTACACATGCTTAGAATTTAAAAATGTTTCAATAATTTCAAAGAATCGACTAATACATATGTACATACTTTACATACATACATATATATGTATGTAGTAGATATAAAATGTGTTTTACCTTTGAATTGCATTTTCTTGACGTATACGTGTTAATTTTGACGATATGGATGTTATATTGCAGATTAATTCGGAGAAACAAATGTTAGACAGAATGTTATTTTCTATGTTAAATGTTATTCACAATATTGTGCAACATATGTGATCGTTAAAACGAAAGTGAATAAATAATAGATTCTAGTTTTTACGAATTGGATTGACGTGGATGTTTGAGGAAGATCGCTGCTGATCGCTGTTGTCGAAACCGAATTTATCAGTGTGAATTACAACAGCTGATAACAATGATCTTGTCACTAAGGTTACTTCTGGGATTATTCTTTATGATTCTTTAAGCAGATTATAAACTGGCACCGTACGATTGTAAAAATGCAGATTTCACTTAGAATATGCCTGATTTTACGGTAAATCGATCTGTCTAGAAAGGAATTCTATGAAAACTTCGATCGAGGAATTAGCACAGAGTGAACGCTATGATCGAAAGTATAACGAACGATCTCCGTTGATCTCCACTAGGTTCATGAGTTCGTGACCAAGTTTAGGTTTTTAAACGTGTGAATTCGGAGATGTAATTGAATGGAATGGGGTACGGTGTAGTGGTTGTGTATCGGAACGGATTTGTTATGAATAGAACACACGATACTGTTTAATTGTTAATTATTGCACGAAGATCGAGCTGTTCGGAAGACATTTTTTCGTAGAACTTGTCCGTTTGACAGCAAAGTGTTCGTTGTTTATTGAGGTTGATGAGATCTATTGTGCAACATGGCGATTACATTTGAATGATAAGTCCACGTCGTTTTGTTATTATTCCATTCGAATATGAAAGATTGTCTATATTTCTTCGTAATAGAATGTGAATTATATTTATATACCGATCGTGATACATGTCGTTGCTTGTAAAATTCGCATTAACCAAGTAATCTCGACTAAAAAGGTTAATGATACCATTATAGAGCATACATTTCCATGTTGACATTATTTCTTGTACGATATCAATACGTTATTTATACTAGGTTGTAATTTCTCAAATGATTGTGGCTGGAATTGTGAAAACTCTTAGAATGTGCATTATTACGAACATTCGAACATCTACTAACAGGTTATTTCTGTGGGATAACAAGACCCTAACAGAATAAATTATGTGGCACGTGAACATTTGCACAAGCAAGTTAGCGCGCCTCAAGAGTCTCATGATTGTTAAAAGACCTGTAGGCTCAAATGTGCTATAATAATTCGAGTATCATAATCAACAGTGTGATGAGTGCTAGTGGATTCAGAGGAAGAGGCTTTGGACCACGGGGTACATGTTCGATCGGTCCATCCAATGGCTATAATGGACCTAGGTTTCCACATCCAACCTTTAATCGTTCACGGCTGCTACACAGATTACCTGGATCTGAGAAATGGGTAGAAGGCCCAAATTTTGCACCATGGCAACAGAACAAAAATTTTATCCCACGCTCGCAGTACAGGGCTAATTTACCATTTCGGCCAAACGGTAGAGGTAGAGCGATCAATGGCCGTGGAATAGTAAGGTTTTCAGGGCCTGGTAGACCACCGGTTCCCCTATTTTGTAAGGGTTTCGCAAAAAATCCAGCACCTAGAATACTGCTGCCACAAGAAGAACAAGTAATAGAAGAAGAAAAATCTATGTCGGTACCGCAGACTCCTTTACTTGGATCCGAAGAAGAACGTCAACAAAAAATTACAGAGACAGCTGACAAACTAAAACGAAAATTATCTTCCATAACCGAGGAGGACCTTACCAATTTTTGGGAAGACGATTTGTCCTTTTTACCAAATAGTAACTCTGAGAAAGGAGTTACTTTAAAGAAAGGTATCCCCGAACTCAGACACGAACCACCCGAGCTTGATTTAACTTTTACCGACTTTAGAGATATAGGGAGAGTGGACTGTAATAATACAAAGTTTGATCATGCCGAGGCCAGAGATAACGAACACGATATTATAATTGCCTTTGAGAGCGAAGCTACGAATAAAATTATTAGCGAAAACGACGACGTTACAATTATAAATGAAAGCGAGGATGATCCCTCGAATGTCTCAAAATTGGGGCACAGTAACGATAATTTGAATCAATCTAGTACATTGTTAGAAGGCGATGGATGCCAAGATCGAATGTTTCACGAGTTATCGAATTCTGATTGCAATTTGGAGAGTATACATTTGCAGTGTGACAATGTTTCAGAATATTTACACTGTTCTAATACAAGTACGGATACAGATTTTAATTTAGATGAAAATATAAGGAATGTTTCATCGATACAACCTATAAACGATTTGATAAATGGAAATTCTTTAGTATTTAATGATTTAGAAACAATTCCTCTGTCCGAATCAATTTTAAACGATCGAGATGCATCGCAAGCAGCTTTTTTGGAGAATCAGAGCGTGATGCTAGATACAGTTAACGATATAGTTACCGTGCAAGAAACAATAGCGGATACGAACGAAGAAGGTCGTTTAAAAAGTCAGACGCCGGCGAATACAGCTGATTCTACCGAAACTAATTTATCAACTTCTTCACCTTCTAACGAGGGAATTCCTATAAATTCTATCTGTGATTCTAAATCTTCGATAAGTTCATCCTACGACGAAGTACATAAATTATGTAATCCACCTGGTTTTCAGCCGAGATTATTCAACGTACCGCTCAGATTTTCTCCAAGAATTCCTCCTGGACCTAGGTGTAGGTGGACGTTTCAACAAAATGGAAAGAACGTATTTTTTAGGGGACCACAAAGGCTATCGTTTCATGGAAATCGAATGCCTCCACCGAGACACGTTGCACCGTATAAGACAGCCGACATGGGTCTGGTTACATTTGGCTCGTGCGCACCACCGCCATTTCCACACAGTGTACCTGTTTCAAGCCATGACTCTCAGCACCATATATTAGTGCCATTTTCTTCGAGCGATTTGCCTCCTGCATTCGACCCCAGCGAACCTCCACCGAATATACGGTCGATGTCGGTAACCGAATCGTCTACTAGACAAGAAGTAACACAGTCTAGGTCTCCTTTAGACACGAGAAATCAAGTAACAAGCGTTCCTCCGAATAATGTGGGTATTATGCAACCGCCCCCTTCTTTCGATCCTAGAGGGCCACCTCCTAGGATTACTCCGATGAAAACCAACGAGAAGTTACCTGAATTCAATCCTCAACAGCCACCGCCGAAGATTCACAAACGAGACGAGCTTTTGCAACCACCACCGATCTTCGATCCGCGGCTTTCTTCGCAAGAACGTTCCAAGCTAATTGCACCGCTGAATGCTTCAGGATCTCGCATGATTGGTACGAATTTAATGGAATCCCCACAAATGTCAGACTTTAATGTGAATCCTGTTGCAGCCAATTTTTCGCAACCACCGCCCTTCATGCCCAATTTAGCAGTAAACTATCAATCTGTTCTACCGCAAGCGAACAACGGGCAAGCGATGGTGCAAGATTTTGGATTACCACCGCCATCCATGAATATCGCTGACGTCCCCCCACCTCCGCCGCAGGAAGTTCTGTTGGAGAAAGATTCCAGTAATCGGCAGGGCATAAGTATGGACGATGGATTAGAGGACATGCAAGAAGCAATGGAATTTGCCAAACAAATAATGAACATGTCTGAAGAAATGAAGAGTAGTCGAGGTACATCGTCGGTATTATCGGAAGCGCGATGTACGCCATCGGAAATTCCTGTGCCAAAGGAGGATGTATTATGCATTTCGTCGACGAATCAACAATTTATAAATTGTGTCGGTGAAAAACAGAAGAAGAAGAAAAAGAAGAAGAAGAAGAAGAAGGAAAGTAAAATAAAGAAAGGGAAACAGGCTACGATTTCTGAGTCGGAACATGTTCAAAAACCAGAGGAAAATCATGTAACCGACGAGGAACAGAACGTAGAAAATGAAACTATCGAGGATGCACCGTTGACGACTGATCAAATAAGACCGAAAGTAATATTTAATTTAAGTTCGAAGACAAAAGTACTGCAAAAACCGGAAGAGTGGCATAGAGAGATATCACAACAAGCTACAACAGCTGTAAATTCTCAGCGGGAAAGGAGATCGACTAAAAAACATCCATCGGAGCATAAGAGAAACAATGAAACCAAGGTTCGCCAGAAAGAACACGGTTCGAAAATAAATTGGATACATTGCGCGGACATTGCGAAGACTTCAACATCTGAAAAATTAAACGACACATCGAACAACAAGGATCGCTGCGAAGGTTTGGAAAAACCTGGTGCACCCTCCTTAACCGTGATAAGACTGAACAATATTGGCACGCAGAAGGGTCAGAATCCCAAGAAAGAGAACAGAAAATCGGAAGCTCCTACTTCCGAATCCTCATGGAAAAACAGAGTGATCAGCCGATTTTTGAAGATGAGCAAGAACGACATATGCAATATGGTTAATAATTCGAGTCTTCGCAAGTTCGATATCGCGATGAAACATTTGGTGAAGGAACGAAGATCTTCGCTGTCCCTGAAAATGCGAAACACCGAGGACGAGAAGATGAAAGAGTACGACAGAGAAGAGTTCATGAACCAATTGAACGCAATGTTGGACCCAGGTGCTGTGGTAGGTATCACAGACTTGCCCACAGAGTTCATCCATCATTTAAGCGAAGTTCTACAATTAGACCCTATGCCCCCGGAACTCGAGTTAAGCGAGAAACAGAAGACGAATATCGACGAAGTTCGAACCGTGAATCAGGCTGATAATTCAAGGATATATAACTCTGAATATTTCGACGATATAGACGTGCAACCGTTCGATTACCAAGAACGCGGAGATTCGTATATAGAGAAGGCAGAAGACAGATCTTCGTACACGAAGGAGGAACCTTCGCGCTATTCCTTGACCACGGAATTGGCTGCGAATCTCTCGCGAGAAGACACTAGCTCGTCAAGGAAATCGCTTCCGAATAAATCCAACACCGAAGTGGAAATTCTGTGCAAAAAGCAACAGCCGTTGTTCAACGAAGCTGACCTGGACGACATCCTGTCTCAAGTAACCGAGAGAACGAGAAGCTTGCCCAACGTAGCTTCAAAGACGTACGCGGAGATGCAGAAACTATCGTTGCAGCCGGTGACAGAAGCTTTCGAGCGCAATACGTTTGCACAGATTTCGAACGCAACGGCGGCTGACCTCGACGACATATTTTCAGCAGGAATTGCAAGAGCCAAGTCGCTCGGCAAAAACGTAGGATCGGACACCTCGAGAGCGCGGAAATCAAGCTCCGAGGATCGAAACAGTTTTAGGGGCGAACGTTGCGAGAGATGGGGCAGAAAGGAGCGAGACGATCCTGATTCGTTCAGGAATTTGACCAAGGAAGAATGGGAAGCCAAGTATGGAACGATAAACGCATCCGCATCGGCATCGGCATCGGCATCGGCATCGGCATCGGCATCGGCCGGCATGTGGAAACACGCGTCGAACAGTGCCGAAAACTTGTCCGGGGTAGGCGGTAAGAGCTACCAGTCTCAACGGTATTGCTCGTCCGATTCGCCCATGAGACATTTGAGCCTGAGTCCCGTGACGCGCGAACAATCGCCTCTGTACAATCAGGAGAAGCACGTGGACCGTTGTAACGAGATAGAGGAATCGAGGACGATAGAACGATCGGAAAGCAGCAACGACCACAGCACGAGCAGTTCGAGCGAAACCGACGAGGAGACCGTTGCTTCCGATGTGACGAAACTGCTGAAAGTAATTAAAGAGAAGGAGAAGATCGCGAAGAAAAGGTCGCTCAATGAAACTATCAGAGACGAAGTGACTGCCGAGATCGAGAAACAATGGAAAGAGAAGAGTAAATGTAAAGAACGCAAGTCGCGGAAACGCGAGAGACGGAAAAGGGACAGAAAGGAGAAGCGGAAAAGAGAGAAGAAGAGGAGGAGGAAAAGGAATTCTCATTCTAACACGTCGAGGTCTAGCGAATACTCCGAAGAGTTCCGACTGTTAACGGAGGATGAGATTAAAAAAGAGGCGACGATTAAGGAGGAGCCGTTGAGCACGTTCGAAGACAGCGTCTCTCAAGGATTCGATAACGAGTTTAGCAACAGTCGCGTTGATCCGACTGCCATCGATACGACGGTAGAGACAGATTCGTGGGTGGGATCGCAGAGTTCGCCGTCAAGGAAACAACAAGCTCCTACGATTACCAGCGACAAGGAGGTATCGTCGTTGCAGCCTAAGAAGAAGCCAACGATCGTATCGATGGCCCTGCAACCAAAGACTAAGGCACAACTGAAGCAAATGCCAGACTCGAATGAACCTGAACAAAACCAAATTGTAGAGAAATCAAATGAAACGGACGGCAGAGTTGGTGCTGGTAGCGTAACGATCACCGATACCAGGAAAGCGGACGAGAGCGTGGAAGAACCTATGGCTTGCGAAGTAACTGAAATTAACGAAGAATCCGTAGACACTGCTCTATGTGCAAACGATACGCTGTTACAGGCTGTAGGAGAATCGCGTGCCGATGTTATTAGTTACGTTAACGTAGATAACAACACGTCCTCCGGTAGCTGTACGCATTCGATGATCGAGGCGCGTATAGCCGATCGGTCCACCGTAACGGGTGGTACCGTATCGTCCGAAAGTAGAAGCGGCTACAAGAAGATCGACATAAAGGCGTACAAAGAACGCGCGCTGCAAAGACGTTTGCGAGAGGAAGCCGAGCTAAAAGATAAATGTGCAAGTCCTCGGTCTTTGTCGATGAATAAAGTCGATAGTGAAATTGGAGTAGATGTTGGAAACAATGTTACTCTAAAGGATCCACGGCTAGCCAAAACGAAGTCGAGTCAATCGGTAAGTCTTTCTTGCACACCTCCCCATGAAAAGGTAAAGGAGAAAACTAATTTCGAGGAAGAACATCATCGATGCAACAAAGAACTTTGTATTTCTGCCCAGTGGAAGATTGCCAGTGAATCGTCGGAAACCAGAATTAAAATGAATCTTCTCGAAGATCATCCTGTCCGGCCAAAGAACCACGATAAGAACGATGATCCTGCATCGTTGCATATTGGAACTAATGGAGAAGCGGACGAGAAAAAGTTTAAAAAACTGTCCGTGGCCGAACATAATAAATTTAAAAATATTCGATCGGAAGGTAGTAAAGAGCTGAAGCTGAAAAAGGAGAAGAAATCGGCAGAGAGGAAGACGGCAAAATCAAAGTTTTCGACGAGGGAGAAGGACTCGAAGCATCCACCGAAAACCGAAGAGATAGACAAATCTGCGACGACTGTAACTGCGGGTAACATCGTTCGGGTCGAACCAAAGAAGAGAAATAATAGCGACACCTCCGAATCGTTGCAAACTAGAGAACCGGCAATGTCTATCGAAAATTTGACGATAGAGAGCAGCAACGCGTTAGAGATTAATAAAGGACACGTTGCTACCGATTCTGCGATGGAAGAATATAACCGATTTAAAGACGACGACGCTACTAATAAAGAAGCGGTGGATATAGATAATCGACGAACTGGAAATTCGGTAAACGAAACAATTGTACGGGCGCAGCAAGTGGATCGAGAAGGAGAGGGAGCAGAAAATGGGCAAAGGTTATTATTAATCGCGAACATCGAAGAAAATAATGGCAATGGTTCTGAAATGAATTCGATAGAATGTGAATTTAACATAGAATCAGATGGGAACGAAGCAGTTGAGGAACAAGCAACGGTGTTAACAAATTTAACGTCGCTTTTATACGATCATGATCCAGATATATATCCTTCGGAGAAAATTAATTGCTCGAATAATGGTAGCTATTTAAAAAGCGATATCGTCGAGAACGATTCAACCTTACGAGAAAATAAATATAACGATAACTCGGAAGCTGACTCTTCGAATGGCGATCATTTGGAAACCGAAATAGAGGGCGGTGATCGGGATAACGGCGAATCGGCGGTTGTTCGGACAGTCGAAAATAGGCGAACATCGAGGACCGATAGAGTCGAAGCGAGTGAAATACGATCTCCCGATAGTTCTGGTAGCCCGTTCAAAGGATTTTTCGTGGAATCCGTCGAAGATGATATTTCTCAAGTATCTGCATTATGTAAAGTACAAACGAAGACTGGAGACGAAGAGGAACGTGTAACGAAAGACTTTAAACAGTGGTTGGAAGCGAATAGTAGAAGTACCAAAGATCGACCGAATGTAAAAGAAGACGAGAAAAATAACCATGATGACCATCTTGAAGAAACAGAGGATTCTGATAGAGCGACGTTAACTCGACGATCGTCGATAGAAGAGCAGCCAGGTACTATCGACGCTAACGTTGTCGATAAAATAGATATTAATCGTTTCAATGTTCTAGATACCACAAAAGCCGATAGAAAACGATCGAAGCCGGAGAACGTGGACACATCGAAGGAACCTGAAACCGATGTTACAGACTTGCAGCAGACGCGCTTCTCGCCTATTCATGATTCGGTTAGCCGCAACGCGTTCGACCAAGACAGGGAACCGTTTATCGTGTTGGACGAGTACATAGATGATACGGAAGGAAGATCCCTCGAGAAACTGAATCGTTTTCATCTAGATCTGGAGGAGTGTATCGCCAGGGATACGGATACATTTGTTAGCGCGTCCAAGCAGGACGACAAATATACCACGGAGAACTTCGAGTTGGCAATCTCCGACTCGATGGACTTCGAAGAACTATCGGATTTCGATAAAAGCAACGGGACGTCTGCCAGAACACGGAACGAGATGAAAACGAATTTAAATACAATTTCATCCGAGAGCCTTGACAAAGAGATTTCGATGGTTGCGGATGTCTCTTCCGCTTCGGATAAGACCGGTAACGTTCAACTAAATATAGAGTCATCGAAAAGATCCGAATCAGAAATTCCAATAGATATGGAAGATCTTCTAACGAGTTCGCGAAGAGACGCGCCTGTTGCCGAAGATATTCCTCGGCAATCTTCGCCGCATGAAATATCGTATCCAGCGAGAACTGTCTCGGTAGCAGCATCCGAAGGAAATATTAAATCGTCGGAGTCGATAGAAGAACCCGACGACAGTTGCGACAGAAATAACGAGAAGAAACGGAACAAAGTTCAGATAATTTCAATTTCTTCCGATGCTACAGAGCTGTCCGTTATTCGGGATGTTTCGTTTAAGATCGCGCTGGAACGTGAGAAACTGCAGAAGGTACGTGACACGATTCGAACGACGGATACAAGTAGAACGAACCGGAAAGAAGAAAACGAGGCGTTGCGCAAACTGAAAGACAAGCCCAAAATGAAGTGCAAGCAACGCAAGAAACGCGATCTCTCCAAAAATCATATAAAAGAAGCAGTGGCGGCTGATACGGTGAATCCTATGTATCCGACTGCCAAGGAGGCGATTATGAATCGAATGATAGAGATCGACGTTGAAATTCACAAACTGATGACCGAGAAAATGACTTTGTATCGAATGCTTACAAGCGACGCATTACCAATGGCCAACGATTCGGAACGGTACGATACAATGAACGAAGACGAAGAAACTGAGAAAACTTTGGTCAGACCTCGGACTCCGTCCGCATTAATGTCACAGTTGATTCAAAACATAGAAACTAAACCTGTAACCGATCAATGCGCCGATACGACTGCGGAGAACGTACCGTTCAAAGATAGTACAGCGAATCCTGTTCGGATCAACAAGTCGAGAACATACAGATACGAAGAACATTTTGAAAACAGAACCAACGATACTAGTACCTGTAGTTCTGAGAACGAGGAGGCTGTACAACAACATCGTATCAGCTTTCCCCCTAAATCTCCACCTTCTAAAAGAAAAAAGGAACGCAAAGGACTTGAGAGAGCAGTGAAATGGGACAACAAGCCCGAGTCTGTCAGAGATAGGTTGCACGACGACGCAGAAGATAAACGAGCAGCCAACGATGCGATAAAACCAATATTAAAGAAGGTTGGTTCAAGACGCGAATCGACCGAAGAGGATACCGGTCTTGTTCCAACGAGCGAAGTTAAGCCTCGAGAAAGTTGCGACAATAGGTCGACCGTAATTCATTCGAGAACTCCTTCGCGCAACGATCAGTTCTGTACATTCGATAGAGAAGAAACTGACGATGTCGTCGAGCGAACAGAGTTTCGGAATTTCTTGGATGAATTTGATAAGACGGAAGCGTTGGAGCAGAGCGAGAACAGGATCTTGGGAAACGATGCAAACACCGTAAGTCCCGTGAAGGAAAAAACGCGAGGAAATAGAACACCGGAGAGATCGTCCATATACTCGGACGATAGTACCTGGGATTCGCTCGTCCAGGTAGCGAGCGACGATCAAAGAAAACCTAGTACCGGTCTCGCGCTTCTGGAAGAAACATATCGGAAGGAAATGGCGAGAACACGGAGGATAAAAGCTGAAACGCGAAAGAAGAAAAATCAGAAAGAAACTCGAGGCCTGTCGCAGCCTGCTGTCCCTCTGACCCCCGAAGAAGAAGAGCTCCCGCTATCCGCGTTGTACGCGAAGAAGTTGCACGCGAACAAGAAAGAGAACGCGGTGGTTGATCAGCGACAAGAAAGGGGGAACAACGATCAACGAGTTTGGAAGAATGTCGTCGAAGTGATAAATGCTGTAGCAGAAAATAGATTAGAAGATCTTCGTATGGAAAATTCGGATAGTCGAACGAACGTATCCGATGGAAACGACGCGTCGATGATCGAAGAACAGGCTAGCGGTCCAAAGTCGTGCACAGAGCCGAAATTGTCGATAGAGGAGGCGCAAGAAATAGTGGTGTCTGTCCCTTTAACGAGCATAGAAGAAAATCGTACTCAACATTCGAAGATTCGTTCGGCATCTTCCGACGAGCAAATCGATGCGTGTAACTATGCACGGTTAACACCTTCGCTAAATAAGATTCTGGTTCGAGCAAATAGCGAGGAACAGCTTGAAACAAGCTCGATGGACACGGAAATAGAAAATCGAGGAACGTTGCTCGCGACACCGACGAACACGGAAAACGATACACCGGGGTCTGCACCGCGATCTACGGAAAATAGAAATTTAGCGATCGGCCAGGTCGCATCGAGTTCGACCGCGTGTTCGATGGAAACAGGTGCCAATGATGTAGTGCACGGTGATCAACGTATTTTAAATACTTCGAGAGTTGGGAACGTAGATACCGATAAAACGAAAGAAATATGCACGGCCGATAAGAATAGAGAGTTCATCTTGAAAGTGGAAGTGTTTGGTATTCATAAGATAAGATCTATAAATCCAGAAGAAACGATAACATTGTCCGACGCGTTTCATAGAAACGATGATAACGTTACGGAAACCGACGATGACATTTTGACAATAGATAAAAGCTCCAACTGCGAACCGGAACAAGCGAACAAGGAATCGTTCGGAGACACCTCTCCGAATCGAGATGTAGGTCGCGACAAGGAGGGCGTAGTCGATGATCCGGAACATTTCGTAAGCTCGAAGGATCATGAAATGCCGAAGAAAAGAAGAGAATCCGAACGATCGAACAAATCGTCCGGCGAAGAAAACAATAACCGCGGTAGAACGCCTGTTCCCATTTTTATGGACGCTGCCGAATTATCGCGAAACGACGAAGCGTCCGGTAGGAAGCTGATGAAGCGCAACAGGGGAAGCAGCAGGACTCCCCTTAGGAGAAGTTCGCGGTACACGGAAGAGGTGACGAAACGGATAAAGCTTGAAATCGACGCATCCGTGCAAGAAGCCACGGAACAGGAATCTCTCGAGAGGAACGTTCAAACTCCGTTTCCTAGTATTTCGCCCGCGTCGTTGTCATCGTACGACGAGGACACCGAAAGCGTATCTTCGAACGGCAAGAAAAGTCGTAATTATAAAACGACCGTGAACAGAAAACGCAACGCGCAGTCGGAAATCGAAATTTTATCGAGTTCTTCGTCTTTGGGCGAGGATCGCAAAGATCTGAAACGATGCAAACAACGGCACACGATGCCGGAGATGATGAATTGCAAAGTGAGATTGGTAGACAGTAAGCACACGATTCTGAAGCCGAACGTGGATCCCGATGTACTGCGAAAATATGGGATCTCGGCGATCAATTTGTTCGTACAATCTGTTCCCAACGATCGCGCGACGGGCCATTCCTGCTTAATGATGGAATCGATGTCCAAAGATTTGAAACGCGTTACTTCGACTTTAACCACCGAATTGTCTCACTGTCATATGTCGAAGTTGTTAAAAAAGACGGACGATGTAACCAGATCTATGGACCACTTGGTTAACTTTAACAAAGCCAGAAGAGGACCAAAGTCTATGAGAATGAGTTTCCTCGCGAACCACGAAGAAGCGACGAACTTGGGGGACGATCTTGGCGTCGAGGTCGCGCAGATTCCGACGAAGGAACAGCTTGTTGTAGACATATCTCAGGACCGTGATAAACCGGACGTCGAAATTGTAGAGGAGAAGACGATAGTTACCAAGAATCAGCATCAAAACGATTCCGGATCGATATTGACTGTGATAGAGACGAAAGATGACAAGGAGATACCGAGGACGCAATACACGGTCCACAAAGGTCCTATTTTAGATATTAAGGTAAAGGGGTCGACCGCGTCGTGTTGGAAGAAAAAATGTTTTATCGGAGCAGTGCATGATTATTCTTGATCCATCTCTTTTCGTTTCTTTCGTTTAAACGATATTCGTGATCACGGTGACCGGTGATCTTATTTTTAGTAATACAACGTACACACGCGTATCTTTGTGTTGTTAAAAACTTGATCGGTACACGCGGTTATATTATATTCTACGAAACGTATACTTGCGTGTTTTTTTTTTCTTTTTCTTAAATACGACGCATTTCGATCGTGAAAACTTTGCGTTCATAATTCTTTTTTGTATTTAAGCGTAATTTATTTCATAGATAAAATCGTTTTTATTTGTTCTCTCTCTCTCTCTCTCTCTCTCTCTCTCTCTCTCTCTCTCTCTGCCGTTAGGTTCACGTTTGCTGTTACGAGACAGTTCTTGCATTTTTACCACGAGTGTACAATCCCATAGGAGTACCTAGTATTAATAAAACAACCAAAGTTTCTAGTTTCTCGAAGCTTCTCACTTATTATTCTCCTTCACACCTCGGCTTCTCAAATCATAGTTTGGACACGTTCCAGTCGTTGGCGGAATTTTCTATTATTTTACGTTCGAATCGTTCGTACATTCTATAGAAACTCGATATATACTCGATCGAAAAAGAAAACAATAATTTATGCCTGTGCTTCTGGTAATCTATATGAAAATTTCAGACGTTTCGTTATGCTCTATAGATTAATCATAGAAATAAACATCTTTTAGGTATACGAGAATTCGTTTCTAGCTGCGAGCGAAGACGGCCGAATATATAGATACAGCCAAGCTTCGAATGGAATATTAAATATCTATAAAGGCCATAAAGCAGCTGTAACTTGTTTATACGTGTATAATCCGAACAGCACGGACGTTAACAAAGATTGGATGTTTTCCGGTTCGTTGGATGGATCTTTAAGATGTTACAATATAACGGTAAGTCACACACACACACATGCACACACACAAATATATATTTATTATCGAGAGTACGCGTTGCCGCGTGTCGCTGTTACATGTAAGAAATTCAATGTTATCAGACCGGAGTTCAATTGAGAGATACTGCGGATATAGGTAGTCCGATACAATGTATGGACGAAGCGTGGGGGATCATTTTCATAGGTACAAAGTCGGGTCACGTGTCTCGTTATCATATAAAGGTTTGTTTAACAAATGTTGAAGGTACTATATGTCGATACGATACTCTTAGACGATGCTAGAAACTCGTTGTTGGTACGGCATAAAGAAATTCTTATTAATTACGATTCTAGTCAGGCGTTATTAAAGGGAATAGCATACAATTCTCGGATAAATCTGTATTAGCTTTAAAAGCAACCAACGAGGGTCCACGAAGAGTTCTCATCGTAGCATCTCGNTTCCGGATCGATATTGACTGTGATAGAGACGAAAGATGACAAGGAGATACCGAGGACGCAATACACGGTCCACAAAGGTCCTATTTTAGATATTAAGGTAAAGGGGTCGACCGCGTCGTGTTGGAAGAAAAAATGTTTTATCGGAGCAGTGCATGATTATTCTTGATCCATCTCTTTTCGTTTCTTTCGTTTAAACGATATTCGTGATCACGGTGACCGGTGATCTTATTTTTAGTAATACAACGTACACACGCGTATCTTTGTGTTGTTAAAAACTTGATCGGTACACGCGGTTATATTATATTCTACGAAACGTATACTTGCGTGTTTTTTTTTTCTTTTTCTTAAATACGACGCATTTCGATCGTGAAAACTTTGCGTTCATAATTCTTTTTTGTATTTAAGCGTAATTTATTTCATAGATAAAATCGTTTTTATTTGTTCTCTCTCTCTCTCTCTCTCTCTCTCTCTCTCTCTCTCTCTCTCTGCCGTTAGGTTCACGTTTGCTGTTACGAGACAGTTCTTGCATTTTTACCACGAGTGTACAATCCCATAGGAGTACCTAGTATTAATAAAACAACCAAAGTTTCTAGTTTCTCGAAGCTTCTCACTTATTATTCTCCTTCACACCTCGGCTTCTCAAATCATAGTTTGGACACGTTCCAGTCGTTGGCGGAATTTTCTATTATTTTACGTTCGAATCGTTCGTACATTCTATAGAAACTCGATATATACTCGATCGAAAAAGAAAACAATAATTTATGCCTGTGCTTCTGGTAATCTATATGAAAATTTCAGACGTTTCGTTATGCTCTATAGATTAATCATAGAAATAAACATCTTTTAGGTATACGAGAATTCGTTTCTAGCTGCGAGCGAAGACGGCCGAATATATAGATACAGCCAAGCTTCGAATGGAATATTAAATATCTATAAAGGCCATAAAGCAGCTGTAACTTGTTTATACGTGTATAATCCGAACAGCACGGACGTTAACAAAGATTGGATGTTTTCCGGTTCGTTGGATGGATCTTTAAGATGTTACAATATAACGGTAAGTCACACACACACACATGCACACACACAAATATATATTTATTATCGAGAGTACGCGTTGCCGCGTGTCGCTGTTACATGTAAGAAATTCAATGTTATCAGACCGGAGTTCAATTGAGAGATACTGCGGATATAGGTAGTCCGATACAATGTATGGACGAAGCGTGGGGGATCATTTTCATAGGTACAAAGTCGGGTCACGTGTCTCGTTATCATATAAAGGTTTGTTTAACAAATGTTGAAGGTACTATATGTCGATACGATACTCTTAGACGATGCTAGAAACTCGTTGTTGGTACGGCATAAAGAAATTCTTATTAATTACGATTCTAGTCAGGCGTTATTAAAGGGAATAGCATACAATTCTCGGATAAATCTGTATTAGCTTTAAAAGCAACCAACGAGGGTCCACGAAGAGTTCTCATCGTAGCATCTCGTAGTCAACCGATAACGATACGTGATGCGCAAAACGGCCTATTTCTTCGCACTATTTCTGGTGAAAAAAGTCATACGGTGTACAGTTTGATGCGCGATCATAATCTAATTTATTGTGGCACAAGTACCACGTCCATCCTTGTCTTTGATTTCACGGTTTGTAATGAAAAACGATGAAATAATTTTCTACGAAATCACATAAAAATATGATGCAGCATTGACGCTTCTATATTATAGAACGGCGAACAGATTACACAGCACGATGCTGGTGTAGGAATCGTATGTATGCGGCTGTACAAACAATTGTTATTTGCCGGATGTTACGACGGAAATATTTATATATTTGACACAAAGGTCAGTTCCGAATATACAAATGAAACTAGAGTGCCGATAGAGACAGAGAGCGTTTACAGATAATACAATTCACTCGTAGGATGATCGACTTGTATGCAGCATACCTGGACCTGGAAATATGCTTTTAAGTATGGAAGTCATAGACAATAAGGTACAGACGTTATTATTGAAGAAGTTTTTCTGTTTTCTTCCTGTAGAAGACATACTTTCTTTAATAAACAATAAACATCTTCCAGATTATAGCTGGAAGTAAAGATAAACGTTTGCAATCATGGCAAATGACACGTCAAGTACGAGCTTTACTCTAAACATTGAGGGATCAGGCTTGAACTGATGTATCCTATATATAGTCTCTAGTCGTGCTCTTAAGAAAGATTACTGTTTACCTTTGGAGCACATTCTGCATTGAACGACTGTATAGATTCGAAGGATATAATTATTTATATATATATACATGGATCTTATTTACAAAAAAATGCACATATACAGTATAAATACATTTGTACAGAGAAGTAGGTAAATTAAATTATTGGTATTGCGAAAAGATTATAATATTTACAGTACACCGAAGAACCGTACTAGCGTCTTGTCTGTAAAAAAGTGGTAGAGAAGTCTTTATTCCATTTTATCGACTCGCGCTACCGAGGGCAAACCTCCTGTGCCTTGTGCGCGTTGAACAATATTTTTCCGTTGAAACTGTTTAAAATAAAAAGAGTAAGAAAATACACGAACAACGTATAAGTGCAATATCAAAAAATGCATTTAACGTCGCAAGAAAAAGGAAGAAAGAGACTCTTGAACCTTTGCACTTATTCTTGCCTCTGTATTTGCATATACCTTGGCCGGTGACTCGAGATGTTCTTTTAATATTATATTCTATGTATAGTGAACAGTGATTTCATAACAAATTCGTAGGTGGCACAATTCTCATGGTTTACTTCGATGAGTGCAAAGGATTGAGAATGATCGATTGCCAACTAATATAGTACGATTGTTTTGATTACGCGAATAAGAATAATGTGTTCTTGACTTCTTGAAGAAAATTTTTATTTTTCCATTTCAGATATTCGCCTTTCGAAATAGCGATTGTAGCAAGTTCATAAATTTCGTGACTTCTTCATATTTTCTTATTACAAGCGATTCATTTCTTCTTTGTTGATCGTTCTCTCATTTATATCGTATGCATATATTAAATTTATATTTGTTTCAAGAAATATTTGAATAAATTATATCTATTTTCTTTGCGATTCTGCAGAGTTAAAAATTAAGCAATATTTAAGTGGTAGGTACTCTCCGATTGTTAATACTCTTTTTTTCAATTTGTTAGTTTAAAGAAAAAGAAAATGCGTTTTTACCAATGTTGTAAGTGGAAAACCTTAACCGCTTTGCACCCATGGACGCGTTATGTCGCAACCCCGATACTGTACGTATAAGGTCACAGCAGACGAGATATCTCGCGACGCGATGCCACTTATGCTATGCCACGGACGTGTTATCCCTCATCGTTCGTATGGTGCCGCAAACAAGTAAACACGCGCTTCGGTTTTTGCTTCGTCTGTGGCCACTCGGCTTCCTTTTATGTTGTATCAATGGAACCAAAATTTTTCGAATTAAAGCATGTTTACTCGTCTATAGCACCTCATGAACGATATTACGTTGCGGGATAACGCATCCGTTATCGCTCACGGCATCGCTCGAATTATGTCGCGAAATATCTCGTTTTTAATCTTATACAAACAATATCGGTGTCGCGACATGACACCGGAGAAAGAGAGAGAGAGAGAGAGAGAGAGAGAGAGAGAGAGAGAGAGAGAGAGGGAGAGAGAGAGAGCGAGCGAGAAAGAAAGCGCGCGAAGCGGTTAATATGTGATTGCGATGAAAGGCAAATGTTTAGACAATTAGTCTACGTCCTAAGTTGCGAGAAATGCGAAATTTTTAAAGAAAATATCAGATGCAAAGGAATTGTGTACAATGATTTGGTATTTTCCTAGATCATTTACTTTTAACATATACTATTGCATCCAATACACATTGTACTTATAAAAGTTTACAATCATTTACATGCAAATCAATGACCACACTACGTTGTAGTTTGTATAAGTTCATTGTGTATCTAGTATTTGTTACGTGTAACAATAAAACATTGTTCCCACATCTGTGACAAAGTTTAAAGCATTTATTCTTGGACACGTATTTTCAATGTAAACTAGAAATAGCAATGTACATGATTTTTCAATTTTGTATATTAAATTGTACGAAAGTGTTACGAAAAGTTTTATACAAATACCTACACCGTAAATTGTTCTAAACTTTTGTTGGTTCTTTCTTTTTAACTCGAGAATTTCGAAAAGTCGATGCCTTATACTTTTTTTTATTTCTTGAAAGAAAAATTTACAATGTTTTTCCCTTCATCCGTTCACATGCGATCATAAAATATTGATCGCGGTCCGTGAATAGCAGCTGCCGGTAAAAGCAAAATCACGAAAAAATGACTAAAATTATATCATCGATTACATTGCGGCTCGAAATTGGCTCGCGTAAGTTCGTTTCCAAGAGTTATCGATAGCGTAGCAACGCTTATTATAAGTAACAGTGACTCCGCTCTTGAATGTGATTTTTACATTATGTGTCTATGCCTTGGTCCTGCTAAATCTGGCAAAACATTTTTAATGAAGCGTTTGCAAGGAGACGAAATGGACGACGCCACGCATACCGTTAACACCAATGGCATAAATCTGTTTACCATAAAAAATAACACCGGAGAGTTTGACATGATCGTTAAAGAAATCGGTGGTGATATGGCTCCAATATGGAAGTTTCATTTTAACAAGGTAAAGAGACATTCTAACGATACAATTTCAAATTGAAATTGATCCTGATAATTTATTTTATGAACTGTCAGATACGAAACATTATTTATGTAGTGGATGCGAGCAATCTATGCCAAATAAGTTTAGCAGTGGTGCAATTTTATTCTCTGTTAGTCGAGCCAAAACTGCGGAAGATAAAAATCGCATTAACACTCAACAAAATGGATCTTTCTTATCGTCAAATGCGCAACGAAGCCTTATTGATGCTTGAATTTTCGCGCATACAAAAAGAAGTCAAGCAGGAACTCTCCTTATTTGAAACTAGCGGTATGACTGGCCAAGGTGTAGAAGAATTACGAAACTGGTTATTCGATCCAGCCACGCTAAAAGCAACAATAAACGCGAACAAATAAAATTACCATGAGTATGATCGATTTCCATTCGTTTATTCCTTGTATTAATAGTAAGTAATCTTACACAATCATATATACAAACATTCTTCGAATAACTTGTCTTCTTTAAGATTAAAGTCGCCATTAATTCAGTGTATACTGCATACTTAGAGCAAATAAATGCACTGAGTTTGCACACGACGGAAAGGGAAAGGAGAAGAAACAGAATAAGGAGGGAATATGAAAATTTAAAGATGGCGCCATTTGTGACAGGTGGCGCCGTTTGCGGTAAAATTTCGAAAAGAATTAAGGGGTTGCACCAAAGCTCTATGGCGCCTGACCATACTACCTTCCGTATGTAGGCACCGAAGCTCTCGGATGCCTGATCGCTTTGCGACTTTCTTCCAGAAAAGTAGGAGTGGAAGAATTATCCATCGTAAATGGGATTGGATGATGCTAATGGATTTCCATTGGCAATCCATTAGAATCGTCCAATCCCATTTACGAGGTTTCTTCTCCGCCACTAGGAGCAGATTTCGAGCAGAATCCTTAACACCATTGGGCACACTAGACACCACAGGACACACTGGCCTTGATACGATACCTGGCGTCGCCACGTTAGGTGCAGTCAGATGACGATGACTGTGGCGTATGCGCGCGCGTGTGTGGACTTTCCTTTTCCCGTATAAAAGTATGTTATACTGGGGAACAACCACCTTCATGCCAGTGTTATCCCCACTCCGTATCACCGCTGCCGGTTTCCATCGCAATCTGGGCACACAGTGGAGGGAAGAACTCACAAATGAGACTTGATGATGCTAATGGATTCCAATGGCAGTGTCGTCACTACACTCCACCACCCTGTATTAAATTTTATCACTCCACCACTGTTCTGTGACCTATACCAACCTATACCAAAGAAAAACACGAAACTGTGTTGTCAACAAGTGTGTGCATATATACGTATGCACACGCACGTACGGGCGCGCGCACACATTGAACCAAATGTTTAAATCGAAGCAGAAGTATTATTCGGTCCAGAAAATCAATTATGTACTTTGTGCTGAACATTATGAATTATTAATTGATGACTTGATGTCGACAATCATTTACACAACGTATTTAACGTATTAATATCCCTCAAAAGAAGGAAAGCAATTGTTGTCGACTAAGAAGTTTTTCAATTTATTTCAAATAAGTACTTAGTTAAGTTACGCAATTATTATTTAGTACCATAAAAAATACATTACATCCATATGAATCTCGAAATACTCGTAGAAGAACTAGATTGTAGATTTGTATAAAGAATGCACTCTTAATGTATATTTAAAAACTTCCCGAAAGACTTCCATGTTCATATATAAGAGTAACTGAAGCAAGTTGTCATTACTACATACAGTATTCTCTCCATAATATAACTGCTACAATTTCAGGTCTGCCGAACGATGGTTATCGTAGATGTACTATATTTTTTGTAGTGTTCCAATCGTATAGAAGGATAACGATTCAAAAATCAATATTCCTTATTTTTGATTTATCGTCAGTTGAACTTTTACCATAGTATTCATCTTGTTTTTTTCCGATTAAAATAACACAAAACACGATATGATTACGATTATAATTACTTCTATAACATTATTATTATTATTGTAACTGCAATACGTATGGTGTTGGTTTAATCAGAAATACGAAACGGTAAAAGTTTCATACAAAAGTATCAAGAATGAGAAAACTTGTAATGTTTTGCTTCACCTTGCATTGGAGCGATTCTCGCTGGCTCGTATGATAAAGAGAGAGAGAGAGAGAGAGAGAGAGAGAGAGAGAGAGAGAGAGAGGCAGATCTTTTTGACAGTTACGGAGAGAATACTGCAACATGAATTAGAGTACGAGAGCGCAGGTGTATACGAATAAAAAATGTGTCTTCACTGGAAAAGAACAAGGAAACGCGACTTCTTGCTTTCTTGTACTATCAGTGATATAAATAGATAATAGTATGTACTTCTCTTTCCATTCTTTCTCAAATAATTACGAGTTCTCTTATTAACCTATTTATCTATAAACTTCTCAAAATATAATAAACTATACAAATCAGTGAAATATAAATTCTTAATGTATTCTTGTCAGATCTTCTACTATTTTTACAAGATCATCTACCGTCGCTTCTTTTTTCATACCATTACCATCATCGATCTGTAAAAATGAAGAAATTTAATTAAAACTATACAGAATATTATGCGCATACACGTGTATACAGGGTGTCCCACAGGATTTTCTCGCCAAACTGCAAGAGCTTAATCCTGGGTACAAAATAGACCTGTGTTTATCAACACTTATCTAGATTAAACTATCGCAGCTCGACTGGAAAATCCCGGGATACCCTATATAAACAAAAAATAGAATCTTTACCATAAGACCCGTTGCAACTTCCGCCATTTTATCCGGACTCAAATCAAGAAAGCTTTCGATTAAATCACCGTCTATGAAACCTTCGCATTGTTCAATTTTCAGTTCGGTATTGAAACTTCTCCAAAAATTATGTTCTACTTTACCGACGCTCTTTATAACACTGGTTAATCTGTCCTCAATATTTCGTAGGAACTCATAAAATGTGAATGGAATCTGCGTAACTAAACCAATTGCCCCACTAACAGTCCCAAATAGTACACAACCCTGTGTAGGTGTACTCGATTCACCCAAGTTCTGCATTACTAACGATCCATGTCGGAAAACGTTGACCATATCACCTAAATGGAATTGTCCAACTTCCTGCATTTGTAGTCTTTCATCTTCGGAAGTTGCCGCACTAAAAAAAAAAGAAAAAGAGAAAACAGAAAAGGAAATATAATTATTGTTATTGCCAGCGTATAATACAATTTACTTAAAAAATAATATATCTAATATTCACCTATCCTTTTGACAAACAAACAGATTAAAACAATTTTCAGCTCCTAAGAAAGTGTCATCATCTAAAAGTTCGATAGCCGTCATCCAGTTTGGATTATAATCCCTCGCTATTTCTTCAAAGCTGCCTTCCATAGTCTTATACTGCAGTAACGTAAGAGACCTCATAAGATCACCAACTAAAACGAAGTCTCCTTTTGTTTTCAGATAAAGTGCAATGATATTATTGAAGTGGCTGCACTCCAACCTAAGCTCTTTTTCAGTTGTCCACTCGAACAGGCGAACAGTGCTGTTAATACTGGCTAGAAGTTTCCCATTGAACTCGACCAAAGAGTAACATGAACCTTTGATTTCTTTTTCAGCAACTTGTATAAGCTTCCCGTCGTTCCAATGATACAAAAGTATTCTGCCCATTTTGGGCTCGGTTTCATCCGGATTAATAAGCGCAGTTCCAACCACATAATAGGACGTAGGATCTTCGCCTAATTTAGTCGATATCAATGACAATGCGTATTCAGTGGGCATTAACATATGGCCGTGTAAAATTTCGAAAGTATGTTGATCTATGATAAGTAAATTATGTACTTCCATTTCTTGACCGATTTCACCGGATGTATATCCCGTAGGTTTAATATGCGATGCGATTAAACTGCTACTAGAAGTCGTCTCTGCGGATGTTGAAGCTGCTAGAGTGGACGCAGAGGGTCTTACGATGCAGAGGCCGATGTTGTCTTGAACATCGACTCTCATCGTTATTACTCCGAAGGTTTGAGAACTTTCTTGATAAGCAATGCGTCTTGGTGATTCTCCAAGCGGAACCGTTCGGATGTGTAATTTCTGTATTTCATCGATCGTTCCTATTGTCACTGTACTGTCGGTTGCTAATGCTAAACTGTCTGGATATGATTCTGCGTTTAAAGAACACATATGATTTACTTCCTTTAAGTTAACATTACTAAATACAAGCTTATGATTCGACGAATAAATTACGGTAGGTCTATCGGAACATGCAAAGACATTGGTGGTGGACAGAGACCTGAAAGTTCTTAGAACTGTTGGTTGTGTGCCCAGGGTAACTTTCTTTTTGTCGGAAAGCATACCGCTTTGTTTGTGTAAAGTAAAGTAATACATACTACCGTCTCCGAGAGCGCAAAGAAGATAAGTGTTACCTTCGAAACAAGTCATTAAAATAGATCTAGGTATGATTTCACCTCCAAGCAATTCTTTATTGATTTCTTCTAAAGCGGGCAAAGTTAATATGCGAACAGAAATGTCCGTCCATAATCCTACCGCGGCAATCTTTGCTTCGGTGTTTCCGTCTAACGGGGATATATCTAAACATGCAACCTCATACTGCAAAGTAGCAAACCCTTTCGGTACGATCTGTCCATCTGCAATTTCCATATAAAACAAATCATTACCGGTCGCGCAAAGTACTTGTGTTCCATTGCAAGCAACTACGCTAATGGTTCTTTTGTTCTCTGGTTCCCATTCCGAAACGATAGTTTTCGTTTCATGTGAAATTAATCTTGCAGACTTTGGTGTTATTTGAATAAATAAATCGTTCGTAACATTTCCTGTGTGGAACGTCTGCTCGTCGGCAACGAAGCCTGCGATATCCGTTTCTTCGACTTCTTCGCCATTTAAAGTCAAGATTCTAGTTTGCCCAACAAAAGATAAGACTAGAGTATTGTCAAAATTGCCACCACCAACTTTCAGTGCCCACATACCCTTAATGCCTGGTAGATCTATACTTGCATGTTCTTCGATACCTATTCCATTTCTAATAATCCTAAGCGAGCCCTCTTTGAAAGCACCCGAGCATGTAACCATCTGTCCTTGACCTTGTCTCTCGAGGTCAACCACAGCTATGTCAACTATCGGTGCCAAATTAATGAAAGTTTCCATTGGTACGCAATAAGAACCATTCTCATCTGCTTTTGTAATTAACTTAATTAACTGCGAATCACCAAGACGACTACCGACAAATATTACACCATTGTCCAAGTATGTAATGCACTCTGGTATACTGATTTCTCCCAGAAGCTCGACCTTCAAATCTTTCACTACTTGGGTACCGTCCGGTTTCTTTTCTTGTTCCAAGAACAACATAAATAAATGTCCAGCCATATCTCCCAACAAATATCTCAATCCTTGATTATCAACTTTAGCATAGCACGTAATTGTACTGTGTTTAATGATCGGCGGTACGACAGCCACATACGTGGTCCCGTCGTGATACAATATACTTTCTTGACCTATTATTATTGCTCCACAGATAGGGGAAGGAACTGGGATAACCATCATAGCTTCGCGTTCCACGTTGTCCTGTCGCCACGGTGTCTTAACAAACTCTTTATCTCGCAAAGAGATCTCATGCGTTTTGACATGTCTGCCATTAATATCTTGGTGAATTAAAATTAACGTCGGATTAGCACATCCATGAAGAAAATTCACATCTTGCACTTGTTGCTCGTCCATACGTATCGACGATGCTTTTAATTCTGGATTATCCTTATCCAGTGGTATTATTTTGAAAAGGCCATCGTACAATCTAAGACCGATCACGCGTGCTTTAGGATCGATTACAGCTTTAATTCCTGTTTCCGAAGCTTTACCGATACGGTCCGCCACATTCCCATGTGCTTTAGTTATAATTTCTATGTCTTCTCCTTCTCCGACGCATTCCAAAATCATCGCATTGTAGCGGGTGGTCAACAAAAATAATAGGTCTTTTTTCTCATGCTGTAGGAATAATGTAATTAATCATTAATTAATTACACGTTACTTTGTACAGTTTCGGTAACGATGAACGCGTTGACATTCGATATAGTAAATCAATGCCAGAAGACCGAATGACAATAGATAAACACGGAGACAAGTTAACAATTTCGAGTAGACGAAACAAGTCTGCTGATATAACCTTACCGGCGGTCTAAAAAATTTAACGACTGCAATCTTTCCGTAAATTCCAACATCTTTCAGTGGTCTTAAGCCTTCCGGTGTGACCAGATAGATTTCTAATCGGACATTCTTTGCCAAGATCAGATTTAAATCCGTAGGCGAAGTAAAATTACCTTGATTGGTAAAAATCAAATAACGGTTTATTATCGTAACGTTCATTTACGAACGACAAAAATTGTCCTACTCACCTGTCACACACGCATTGACAGCCGTAGGCTTGTGTGCCGTCACAACATAATGATGAGACATTGCTTTCATACTATTTTATCCGACGACAACTTTTCTATATTTGTTAACAATTTAGGGACAGATCAATACATACGACAAAATGCTGGCCTTGCGTGTTGTTCACTTTGACGAGCCATGAAGTTGGTAACGTTTACGGAGAACAGAGAACTAAGCCTAGTTCACACAAAAGCCGCCACAATTTACATACATACGTGTATGCAATAATAGTACGTACATATCTCAAATTTTGCAACACTCTCCGGCCGCAGAGCGCTCTATTAGCAAGAATAGTAGTAGAAATTGCTTTCCTCTGACTGGCTTACGATTCAATGCTAATAATTGTATGCGCAGTAAAATGGTGGGGATGCTTGCAAAAACTAAGAGAGAGATAGAAAAATCGTGTAAAACCTGAGGTGTATACAGCGCATGCGTACACTATATAAAACAGCGCTCATACATACATATATCACATACACACATGCATATATAAGAGATAACTAAACGTGTTCCAAGAAAACAACTTTATTAATATTCTCATTAACGAAGAAACTTAACAAAACAACCGCAGGAAATGAAACAAAATCTCAACAAGATACCGTAGCGCTCGAAGAAGTCAAAATGAACGCTTAAATAAATGAGTTACATAGACGTATCTGCTTTTGGCGCTGATCAACGCGCCGATGTCGCCATAACGGCGGGAAAAGATTTGCTGGTTAAACAACCACACGTTTTTGAAATGTTTCTTCGTGTATCATTCCTGCTTAACTGAACACTTATTAAACAATGATCATATCGTAAATGATATAAGAATAAACAAATTCTACTTACTAAATATCTTTAATTGTGAAAATTTCTGATGATTATTTCAAGTCCTTTTTAATTGCGAACGCGATTCGCAAAGAAATTATATGTATCACATTTTTACACGAAGTCCACAATATTTCACGAGGTTAAAGACATTTTTATTAATTTTATCAAGTATGTAAGTATATATGTCTTCACTTTTTAAAAAAATCATTCCCAGGAAATTTCTCATACATTGACTCCCATTAATATTCGGACACGATATTGTTAGAAGAATTATTGCTCCTTTTTATTGTTTATGATAATTGTTTTCTCATATAATAAAGCACTTCTTAAAGTAAGTCGAAACATAAATTTTGTTTATTTATTACGCATGTTCTTTTGTATAATAAGCGATAAAGCAAGATTGTGACAAAATTTAACGTCGCAACAATATTCGGACAGTGAATGAATTACATTAATTTCATATAAAATGAAAATCTTTTTAATCATGTTATCATAATACTAATATTTTGTCGGTTGACCCTTTTGTTTTATTACTTCGTGCAATCGCTTGGGCATATTACAGATGATTTTATTTAAATAAACCGGCGAAATCCGTTTCCATTCGTCTAACAAACGTTGTTTTATCTCTGTCGTTGTCCTTGTAGGTGTTGTATGAATTTTGCGGTCCAATCGGACCCATAAATTTTCAATTGGATTTAAATCAGGCGATCAAGGAGGAGGAGGAGGAGGAGGAGGAGGATGCGGTACCTTTGCATAATTGTATAATAAATATTCCTGTACAATTCTGGCCTTGTGTTTAGGATCATTGTCCTGATAAAACTTAAAACTGTACGTATACCCATATTTATAGCACTTGTAATTAAATTTTTTTTTTAAATGTCCAAATACTTCATTTTGTCCATAATACCATCGATAAAAACTAGTTCACCTACAACACCTGTAGACGAAATATAACCCAACACTCCTATGTACACTCCTACCATTGTGTTTCGCTTAAATTTGAAACGTTTAATTCTGTATTTACTTTACGTCACACCATTTTTTGACTGTCGGATATCCGTAAAGATTAAATTTGCTTTCATCCGAAAATATTACATCGTTTCACCACCAGTTGTCTTTGTCAAAATATTCTTTTGCAAAACCCAATCTTTTCTTGCGATTTGCTTCATTTACGTATAGCTTTCTACGAGGAACTCTTTCGTTGTAATCATAAGTATTTAATACCCGTCGCACCGTGTCCGGGTGTACCTTCTTCCCAGATTCTACGAACGATCTTTCTTTATTTTTCTTATTATCTTGCGTTGATCGCGAGAGTCTAATAATTTTGGACGACCTTTCCGAGGGATTAAATCGATTCGATCCTCACGAATGTACCGACGTGTAATATCTGCCACACTACTCTTGCTTATATTTAATAATTTGGCTATATCTCTGTACGATTTTCCCTTTTCCTTGTGATAAATAACCAATTGTCGGTTTTCAAAAGATGTATTTCTCCCTTTCCGTCCCATTTTCACAAGTAAAGCGTCCGACATCACACCAATACTTTCTGTGGTACCGAGGTCTCGCAACGAATTAGATGTTGTGTCCGAATATTTTTGCGACGTTACATTTGGTCACAATCTTGTTTATCGCTTATTCTACAAAAGAACATGTGCAATAAATAAACAAAATTGATGTTTCTACTTACTTTAAGAAGTGCTTTATTATATATGAGAAAACAATCGATTCAATAATACTATATCATAAACAATAAAAAGGAGCAATAATTCTCCTAACAATATCGTGTCCGAATATTAATGCGAGTGAGTCACTGTATGTACAAACACGTTATCTCGCATACTAAAAAATGTTTTAAAAAACATACTAAAAAGACTCTGTTCTATTCTCGTATTTGTACAACATCTCAGGAAAATAATCGTAATAAAAGAAAGAAAAACTTGGAATTTATTAAAAATTTAAACTGTGAAATACTTTAATACATTGTACATTCAGACCATAAACTAAGACCTAATCTTACATTATAAATCTATACAATTGTACAATAATATTGAATACCTTATAACATAAATTATATAATTTTAATATCATATTGTATCTTTCGTTGCGCCTATATCAATATTTTATGATTCATTAGCTGATGGTCTGTAAAACACGAAACTCATACAGTTCTATACTATTAAATGGCAGTTTAAAAAGAATGGGATACAAAAGAGAAAGTAGTCTCCCACTGCATTGTAATTAGTACCAAATGAAGTAAGATTAAGTAATGTTGTGTGTATGTATGTATACTACAAACGTGCAACTGTTGCAAATTTCATCGAAGCAAGTAACAATATGCCCGCATAGACAAAAATTTTATCCTTCTATAAGATCGGGTGTGTATAGATTTCTTACATGTTCTTTTTATAGAAAACAGTCTTAGAAGATATATGGGAAGTAAAGAGCATGATAAATGTTAGTCTAAGTTTGTGTAATTGTGATTTCAGGAAGAGGAACAGCTTGTTGCTTAAATACAACTGAATCGCTTTAAACCAGTCTCGTTAGATTGGTAGGATTAAAAAAACAAATAAGCAGGACAAAAATGACATGTTTAACATGGATTTTACATTGATTTTTGAAACATTGAATAGACTTTTAATATAAAAACAGCTCTCTTTTATAATTTACAGGGAGGAATCGTAACTATCATAAATATCATAAATATGATCATTTAAATATGTACCTTTCGTACAAAGTACCCGCCGAATTGGTTTTCTCTAATCTAAATCCAGGTTCCGCGTGTACAGAAGAACAACTAGAACTGGAACTGGAAATGGGACAATCGCATCTGCTTTTATTTCCATTACTTGTACTGTCACTATCGCTTTCGCTATCGACACTCGAAACTGGACTACCGTGTCTTCGAGCTCTCAACGATTCATTTTCTCGTTTCAACTGTTCATTTTGTTGTATCAAATCGTCAATTCGTTGCTGACAAATTTTTAATTTCTTCGTAGATTCTGAATCTGTACTACTACTTTGGATTTCTAAGTCTTTCTCCTCCGGTTGATGGAAATTTTTGCCACGTAATCGCTTTGTCAGTAAATCTACTTTGGCCTCTAACTGTAAGTATTCCTGTATCAATTCTGTTTTACTCAACGTACTCAACCTTTCGGCATGAAGATCTTCGTACGCCGTTGAAAATTCCTTAGTTAAGAATTCTTCTTCGTTCTCGGGAGACGAGTAAAAGTAATCTTCGTCAGAATCTACGCTAAAACTAGAATCTCTCGTGCGTGGCGGCGCGGATGGTTTTTGAAACGTGGTGGGCGTATCTGTCGAAACAGCTTCTGAAAGCTTTTGATCAAGGTCTGGAAGATCGCTGTGATCGTTCATAAGAAACTGGGTAGTATTATACGGCGCTGTCGGCTGTCTACCAGTTTTTTCTAATCGACCTCTGGATCTATATCGTCGCTGTTGCTGATAATATAGTTGCTGTTTAGAATATGGCTTTAATTTTCTATGCTTAGGTTTACCTCGACGCGTCTTTCTCTTTTTAGCTGCAATATCTTTTCCATCTTCGTGATGACATCCTTCCTGATCTCCGCTACCACTTCCGCTCTCAAATTTTCCTCTATTGTTTATTATCGATTTCGCGCACTGAAACATGAAAAATAACACATTAGAGATAGGTAACTCTTTTTGAAATCATTTCAAAACAATATGTTAAATAAAAATATGCGCGCGAATCAACTATTCGAAAAGTATCCTTCGTTATCGCTATTACGATTCGAACATGATTCGCTACGATCGGCTTCGTATATACTAATTTTTCAAATGACAACGGAATATAACTTCATAAAATAGCACGACGTAACGATTTAATATTAAAAAATTCGTAATTCATCGTGTATATCGTTTCGATAACAAATTTTTAAACGGGGAATCACTGTATCTTACACTTCGCCCGTTGAAGTACGAGGTCTCGTTGATGTTTTCGCCAGTAGAGTGCGAGTCTTGTTTCGAGGCTGGCAACGATGACGCCGCAGCCGCAGGCGTCGGCTCCGCTTTTACGCCCTTCACGTCATATACCTTGTCGACGCCGACCGAAAATATCTTTTCACATGTCTTCCCATTTTTATCGTCCATGTTCGTGATGTTGAGTAAGATCCGACGGTTTACAGTGATACAAGTGAACATTACCGTTAAAAAACACTGTCTGAGCCACCACTATTCATCCACTCCCGTTCCACGAACCGTACTCCTTCACCGCAAACAGTGACTGAATCGCCATGTTTGATTTGTCCGTGATTCCGTGCGATAGCGAAGCGCGATGTGCTAAAGTTTCAGAGGAGTGGGGGGATTTGTTTGCGACGGAAGGGGTAAACGTATACATATGTAACATGTCACCGACGGTTGGTTCCCCCACTACCGTTCCCCACACATCCTTCAGACTCGACTCCATACTCCATTGCTGACCATTGCTGACCATTGCTGACCATTGCTGACCATTGCTGACCATTGCTGACCATTGCTTACCATTGCTTACCATTGCTTACCATTGCTTACCATTGCTTACCATTGCTTACCATTGCTTACCATTGCTTACCATTGCTTACCATTGCTTACCATTGCTTACCATTGCTTACCATTGCTTACCATTGCTTACCATTGCTTACCATTGCTTACCATTGCTTACCATTGCTTACCATTGCTTACCATTGCTTACCATTGCTTACCATTGCTTACCATTGCTTACCATTGCTTACCATTGCTTACCATTGCTTACCATTGCTTACCATTGCTTACCATTGCTTACCATTGCTTACCATTGCTTACCATTGCTTACCATTGCTTACCATTGCTTACCATTGCTTACCATTGCTTACCATTGCTTACCATTGCTTACCATTGCTTACCATTGCTTACCATTGCTTACCATTGCTTACCATTGCTTACCATTGCTTACCATTGCTTACCATTGCTTACCATTGCTTACCATTGCTTACCATTGCTTACCATTGCTTACCATTGCTTACCATTGCTTACCATTGCTTACCATTGCTTACCATTGCTTACCATTGCTTACCATTGCTTACCATTGCTTACCATTGCTTACCATTGCTTACCATTGCTTACCATTGCTTACCATTGCTTACCATTGCTTACCATTGCTTACCATTGCTTACCATTGCTTACCATTGCTTACCATTGCTTACCATTGCTTACCATTGCTTACCATTGCTTACCATTGCTTACCATTGCTTACCATTGCTTACCATTGCTTACCATTGCTTACCATTGCTTACCATTGCTTACCATTGCTGTCCATTGCTGTCAATTCTTCACACTCCATACTAGTCCATACTCCATCAGAGTGCAATCAGAGTGGCTCAGAGACCACGGCGACTCGTCTCTGCATGCTGGCACCCTTACACCATTAATTTAATGTTTATTACGTAAAGAGAATGAAGAGAACGATAACCATGCAGCCGTAACATTCGATAGCGTGTCCAAATACACATCGATCAGATATTCGTTGGTTCCGACTACATCATGATCGGTAGACAACAAGGGTTTTTATCGATACGATTCAACTGCATAGTAGTTGATGGATGATGATCGATAATCAAATTGGTCGTTTATCGACGGTCACATTATGAAAACGCACACACACAATAAATCGTACGATTGGAATTATCTAATTACCGAGATGTATGTATATGCATGCGCTGCTCTATGGGAGAAGTCGTTCTCGCACAACAATTACTTCTTCGACTTCGATCCTCGATCTGCGCAGAGTTTATTATGTTTACCATATCTTGTCTATTCTATAAATCTTCGTTCTGACAAGTTATGCTCGATCAAACCCGGTAAACCTGACCTGTAAATCGTAAATAGAAAGTGGTTGTCTTTCCACGAAGCTACTGCCTATGTATTTAATTAGAAGAAACGTTTCTGCTGGATTTGTGTGAAACACGCCATAGGCACAGCGTCGTATAGTGCACCTGGGATTCGGGAACAATAAGTATATACGTATGTATATTCTTTCTTTTCTAGCGATGCGCACATTTTAGAATTTTCTGTATAATAAGCGCTATCGAAGACAATCGGATACAATAATTATTCCCTCCGTTTTATTATAAACAACGTGCAAACGATTCATAGATCGTCTTTTTGTACCAATGTTGAACATTGTCTATTATCGTCATAGTAAAAGCAGTGATTTCATCGAAAGAGACAAATGAACGTGAAAGTCCATGAACCGGGAGAACGAGAATTAGATAAAAGTAATTGTATACTTCAAAGGTAAAACGATGCAGCTAAATTGTTTGCTAATCCGAGAAACGCTGTGTTTGGTGCGTCACATACATATGTACATGTGTATGTGTTGACCTACTTTACAATGCGGTTACATACATATATAAAATTATACACATTATACTACATCTATTACATGCACTCAATTTCGTATTTGAAATAGTATAGGTACGGAAACAATACATTATGTACATCTTTCGTTCGAACTTCGAGCTCGAGTGTGTTCCGCATTGCCAATAGTTCCGACTCGAGACCAAAATGCATGTTTACGTCGAAATAATGTATAATAGAATAGCGTGTCTTCCGATGATTCGCTATTGTCGGAAAGATTTCACGAAATTTTCATCTCGATCGCGAAGAAATCACTGCGGGATACTCGCGCGACTCCGCGGTTGTCACGTATGTATGTATATTCGTCGCGCATAAAAGTTCTCTGTCGGAAACTGCGTTCTACAGTCGTGTACAGTGTGCGGTAGGTTTCTATGTAGTATGCATGTATGTATGTATGTATGTATGTATGTATATATGTACACGATTCTAATATCCGCGAGAGTGCTCGACACAACATTGCTGCAGGTTACACGGCGATATGTTAGCAACCGTGAAGCAACGAGTAACAAGTTTCAAGCACGAAAATGTACAGTAATAGAAAAAAAACTGTACGTACATCGTTGTTCCCTGGTCGAAGTTAGTTTAATATTACAGTACGCGTTTCTTTCAGTCTCTAAAAATTAATATACATAATGCGATAGAGGAGCAAACTCTTCTAATAAATTTTGTAATAAAAGCCACAACATCTGCAACGTCCAATTTCGTCGAGACATTCGCTCGAATCAGGCGGGTTATAGTAATTACGCTTCAGCCTCCGCACGATGTGAAATAACAAACGGACTTTCATGTTTTTTGGGGAGGAAAATAACCGTGTACCCTTACAAAGGATTTCCTTGGCTCGCTCGATGAACGTATTATCGATCGTATGCATTACAGTATATATACATATACGGTATACGGTACGTATGCATACCATGCACACTGCACACACGTATCAGCTTGCACACTTGTCACCGTGTAATTCGGAATAATGAGCTTTTATGCTTTGAAAGTCGAAACGATAGGGAACGATTACGAACAATTTACCGACACCGTTATTATTTATCATAATTGATATGCCTCTGTTGTGCAATTGAAAATACCGAGCTTGCGTATACAGGCCGATGAACGATATCCTTTTTGTATTTTCGTTTCTACGTAAATATCGATTTCGATCGACAAATATCGATTAGACGCGAATTCGATCCTGTGCGCTGCAGACGAATATAAATAAAGATAAATTGTAATGTATCGCAAAACGTGTTCCACTATCGTGAAATATGTATACTATTTGTACTTTTAATCGATTAAGTAACTTTGATTTGTCTCTTATGTCCGTGTATGCATGTGTTAACGCGTATCTACAGTTTATGCGCGCAAGCGATACAAGCACGAACATCTAGTATTCGTTCGTATACACAACCGATTCGAACAAAAGGAATCTATTGTACATTTTAAGAAGAAAGCCCTAGGTCGGTGGGACAGGAGTCTCCTACATAGAGAACGTATTTATAGTTGAGCTAGTCACGTGCGAGTGTTGTTCTATCTTTGAATTAGTAGTATTTACATATTATTGTGTTACGCGCGCGCGCGTGTGTGTGTGTGTGTGTACGTTTGTCGCATAATATTTACAACTTATCGCTGCTCTCGGAATTAATAATTCGATCATGAACGTACGTGGATTTGTTGCATATGCGAGACGAGAGAACTCGGTTAAAAACAAGAAACTTCGATGTAGCGTCGAAAAAGCTTACGTACATCACAGCTTCGAAATTGTAATAATGTTGATAACAATGTTGGCGACAATGAACTTTTGTTGCAACAAGTAGAATTTTTACTTTCGCGAATCATCCTCTTTATAAGCAATTCGTAGGCGTCGCGAGGTTCAAGAACGAGAGCATTAAAAATCGTGAAACACGGTAATGAATGAAACAGATAAGAAAATGCATAGTGCAATCCACGCAGGAGTACATAGCTACTTCTCCAGAGTGGATGGTTATATATGTATACATACACAAATGCGCCTCCTCTTCCCAGCGCTATCTTCGTTTCGAACCTACTTTCCGCCAAGCTTTCTCGGTGTAAATACATACTATGCACATACGTATGTACGTATGCATGTATGCATGTGTGCATAGAGCATAGAGTGGTATAGAATATAGCGGGAGCGCGGAGGCAGTCGGAACGGTCGGAGTTTCGTAGCTGTTCATAGCTAATCGTCGAGAGTCGCGTGTCACAGTTCCATTCCGAAACGAAATGCACTGTTCTTACTTTTCAATTATACACAGAAACCATCCCCTCTATCATCCCGCGCTTCATAACGTAATTCCGGATTATATAATCGTAATCACAGGAAGACTATGCTTGACACGAATTTGATCTGCACATTTCGAACGCGAATATATCTGTATATAAAATGCAAAAGTCAAAAACGCTCGTTGCTTCTTAGGCTATCGTCGATCCTTGCGTTGTTTATTCATTATGCATAATAATAATGATCGTATAGTTTATTATAGAACATTTTTGGAATTCAACATTCTGTCTTTCCAAAATCTGTGCGCGTGTGTGTAGCGGATTATAAATCCGGTCACATATTCTTACATATATCATTTTTCATNAAATTGTAATGTATCGCAAAACGTGTTCCACTATCGTGAAATATGTATACTATTTGTACTTTTAATCGATTAAGTAACTTTGATTTGTCTCTTATGTCCGTGTATGCATGTGTTAACGCGTATCTACAGTTTATGCGCGCAAGCGATACAAGCACGAACATCTAGTATTCGTTCGTATACACAACCGATTCGAACAAAAGGAATCTATTGTACATTTTAAGAAGAAAGCCCTAGGTCGGTGGGACAGGAGTCTCCTACATAGAGAACGTATTTATAGTTGAGCTAGTCACGTGCGAGTGTTGTTCTATCTTTGAATTAGTAGTATTTACATATTATTGTGTTACGCGCGCGCGCGTGTGTGTGTGTGTGTGTACGTTTGTCGCATAATATTTACAACTTATCGCTGCTCTCGGAATTAATAATTCGATCATGAACGTACGTGGATTTGTTGCATATGCGAGACGAGAGAACTCGGTTAAAAACAAGAAACTTCGATGTAGCGTCGAAAAAGCTTACGTACATCACAGCTTCGAAATTGTAATAATGTTGATAACAATGTTGGCGACAATGAACTTTTGTTGCAACAAGTAGAATTTTTACTTTCGCGAATCATCCTCTTTATAAGCAATTCGTAGGCGTCGCGAGGTTCAAGAACGAGAGCATTAAAAATCGTGAAACACGGTAATGAATGAAACAGATAAGAAAATGCATAGTGCAATCCACGCAGGAGTACATAGCTACTTCTCCAGAGTGGATGGTTATATATGTATACATACACAAATGCGCCTCCTCTTCCCAGCGCTATCTTCGTTTCGAACCTACTTTCCGCCAAGCTTTCTCGGTGTAAATACATACTATGCACATACGTATGTACGTATGCATGTATGCATGTGTGCATAGAGCATAGAGTGGTATAGAATATAGCGGGAGCGCGGAGGCAGTCGGAACGGTCGGAGTTTCGTAGCTGTTCATAGCTAATCGTCGAGAGTCGCGTGTCACAGTTCCATTCCGAAACGAAATGCACTGTTCTTACTTTTCAATTATACACAGAAACCATCCCCTCTATCATCCCGCGCTTCATAACGTAATTCCGGATTATATAATCGTAATCACAGGAAGACTATGCTTGACACGAATTTGATCTGCACATTTCGAACGCGAATATATCTGTATATAAAATGCAAAAGTCAAAAACGCTCGTTGCTTCTTAGGCTATCGTCGATCCTTGCGTTGTTTATTCATTATGCATAATAATAATGATCGTATAGTTTATTATAGAACATTTTTGGAATTCAACATTCTGTCTTTCCAAAATCTGTGCGCGTGTGTGTAGCGGATTATAAATCCGGTCACATATTCTTACATATATCATTTTTCATGTAACGTACATATACACGGTAATGTAACTTGTAATAGGTCAATAACCACTTAGTTGAAGAACGATAACGAATTATAGCTAGGCACGTTAATGCAAGCGTTAGGAAGTCGTCGTTTCTTGCGTGACACATTATCCCACAAACATACGTTTCCGTATCTTTTACAATTACAGGTTCGATTCAGCTCGTCTACATAATCTTGCAAGTTAATTCAGTGGAAACGGAATTATGGTAACATCGTGTGTTTTACACATGAAAATGATATTTAGATAACTTTGTTACGGCTTGCAGTATGTATGCACGTACGTTGAAAAAGATAATGCTAATATGGATTTAACTAACGAGCGATATGTGATATCCTATGGCAAAGTTTGCTCGATCGCTTGAAACATAAGCATACATACGTGATATACGCCGTAACCTAAACAAATATTTCGATTTTACTAGCATTCGTCGTAGAAACACCGTATGCTTTTCCTGAACATGCATTGCTAATTGCTATACATGCACCTAGAGACTTGTTCCGAGAGTTGTATTAAACTAACGATAAATAATATAAATTATTATAGAATGAATAATTAGGATTTATGCGAAAGTATGTGTAGGACACAAATGTGTACATAAATGCGTAAAACTTATAAACGTACAACTTGTGTACTTGCGCGAACACGTGTATGAATACTCTTTGCTTGAGATCGATACGATTACACAGCCAGTGGAACATGTGCCCGTGTACGTACGTATGCATATATAGTATACACAAACGATACTACAGAGGCAGAGGCATACAAGTTGGATACAAATATTTAGTAATTTATGAATATCTGTAAAATATACGTGTGCTAATATGTGTTGTTTAACAATACGTTACGAGTGAAATTAATTTCTTTTTTTTTATAAAATGTGAAAAACTAGATTATATCGCTACCTACAGGGGAAAAAGGAAAGCGCGTCGTTAGACAGCTGACTAGGTAATCGTAGAAAGTAGGGAATGCATTATTACTATAATTAATTTTCTATTAAATTCTAATATTATTAGTACAAAGTTTTTAAACCATTAAATATTACTTATAAATTTAATATCACCGTATTAGTATTTAAAATGTTTCACATATTACGCGAGTCAAATTTTACATAGTCTTATATCTACCTAGTAAAATCTAAAATCTAAAGTATATACTAATATGTTCTGTATTTTAAAATATAAAATAAAATATGACTAATACCTTCGGTAAACATACAAATAAATTCGATATTAATTGTGCAATATTACAATTCTTTATAAATTTATATACTAATAGAAAATCTATACGTGTGTCTGACCGATCTAAAATATGCATTAATAAAATATAATTCATATATAAACTTACTTTCTCCTTAAGAATATCGGTAGTAGATTTGTTATTCCACTACGAGTTCAAAATGGTCTATTTCATCGAAAGTTTTATTAATGTCCTCGATCCATTTTCTCATTTTATGTTTTTCTTCTGTCTTGACTTTGTCTGTCTTTTTGCGCTTTGTTTTACTTTTTACTACGTCTTTTCCTCCTTCTGTTTCGGTCTCTTCATCGGAAAAACTGGACTTAACGTTTCGTTTCCGTTTGTAGGAGTATCTCGCAGGCTACAAACATACAAGTACTTTTGTAAAATAATAATTGTGTTATTAATTATTTAAATTTAATATGAAATACTCGAATTACATACCTGTATGAAATGGGATGGCTCCAGGTCGACGAACAATGGTGGTTCAGATGTATCCATTGCCGGAGTTTTGCTGTTTTCAGAACAAATATCAAACGTATCAGAAAAGTTTGCGATATCAAAGAGTACGTGTTGTTTTGGTACAGTAGGCACTTTTCCTTTTGCCGCGCCCTCATTTTTCGGATCTTTCAACGTTTGAATATTCTTTTTTAGCTTTTTAGTAAAAAGTGTATTTTTTATTTCACCGATTGATATTCTTGTAAATGGTTTTTCATTGCTTTTTTCTGAACACATTGCAACAGGTATTTCCTTTTTGTTTTCATCGCTTATACTGCTCTGTTTAACGAGAGACACGTCCTTACTAGAATCATCATCGTAAAAACCAAACGCATTCTTCAAATCTGAGCTAAATATTTTAGGCTTTCTCATTGATTTACTATTAATCGGGGTTGATGATATATCATCGAAAATTCCATGAGGAGTTCTGACCGATGTACTTTGTGGCATATCCATAATATTGAAAAAATTGTTTAAGTTCGATTGTCGCAATAGGCTTTTTTGCTCATTGAGAATTCTGATCTTTTGCAAGCCAGACGGGCCAGGTTGAGGATCCAAATTTTCTTTTAGATCACACACTTGCATGTTTTCGATCATCTTCGGTGGGCTGCAAATTTGATTTGTTTCTATAACATTTTTTTTAGACACATGACGATTGCTCACTTCATTGACATTACTTTCGATACTATTGAGCAGAGACAAATTATTTACACTAGAATTAATCCTACTACTTAATTCAACACTCGGTTGCGTACTCTCTACCTCAACTGACGCTCGTCCACTTATGTCTTCCTCGATATTAGACTGTACACAATGATCTATGTTTGTTATTTCTGTACCAAACTTTCTTGACATTGCAGAATTTCTCTTTTTCGAATTAGTATTTATATACCCTGGACTTACATTTTCGTCGTTCTTTAATAAACTGCCTTTTCTTTTTGTAGTATTTTCATAACTCTTAGTTTCGTTTGTTATTGTTCGCAAAAATTTTTTGCTAGATACTTCATATTTTTTATTTTGCGGTGTACTTTGAAATACATTTCTTACTTGGGAAAACGTATTTGCTGCAGGTGCTTTCCAAGGGCTGCTAAATTCAATATTTTCAGATAATTTAGTAATCGGTGATAATGATTTTTCAAACAATGAATTATTAAGTATAGTTCTCTGTTGAATCAGTATCTTATTGTTGAAAACGTTTGTAGGCCTAAACGGCTTAAAATTATCCGATTTAGATATTTGCATGTTGTCTACTATAGCGATCTTCTCATTGTTCGTGTCTTGTGTTGACGGTATTGAAATTTTTGGTTTTTTAATTGTACTTTCTGCAAACAATTCTTTGCTTGCATTTTCTGATTGCACCAATGATTCTTTATTTAATCCTAAATTCATTAGCGAACTCTTCTCTGCAATTTCTGGCAATGCATTTTCATTCGTGGATTTCACAGAATTACCAGTATGTAAAACCTCATCGATACTCTCTCTTATTTTCCCACTTCCTTTCGGTAAAATGTCAGCAAATCTATCATTATTTTCTTCAATCGCAATTACAGTAGGTTTAACATTACTACTCTGAGAAGCAACATTAATGGATTCAATATTATTCCCTTTTAATGCAACATCGGTGAACCTAACGCGCGCGCGCGCGTCACTTTCTTTAGTTGCTGTATTGCTAAATTTAATGTCACCTTCTTCAAGTGGAACATTATTTGGTGTTGCTGTTTTATTTACGACTTTCTGTTCATCTTGTTTCTTAGATCTAACTTCCTTCTTCTTCTTCTTGGTTATCAGAGTCTTTTTAACAGCAATTTTTTTTCTCTTTTTCTTCGGTAACTGTTCCTTAGAATCATTAATATCGAATTTGAACTCGTAAATTTCGCTTGCATTATGTACAGATCGCTCAGGTGAAAGACATTTGTAGATTGGTACTTTTCTTTTTTTTGCACACAGTTTCTTTACTAATACCAGACTCTTACGACTTCTAGGTGAAAGATGTTCTGCCACTAACATAACATCCTCTTGAGGTGTCGTAAACTTTTGACAAACATGTGACAATTTCATTGATTGATTCAAGAAAGATTCTCTTAATGATGTTTGCCTCGAACCAAGATTATTTTTCTTTATCCTTTTATTTTGTTTGGTATTATTCAGTTGTTTATTTCTCCTTACTTTACTATTTTTCACTAGTTTAGGTATTTGCTCTTCATTATTTCTCTTTAACTTTTTACTCCTAGTAACCGTACGAATTTCCTTGCGATCATTACTATCTGGTTCTTTCTCAAGATCAGACTGTTTCTTTGCTGCTGGAGTTTTAGATTCTGTTATTAGTCTTCTAGTTCTTAACCGAGGGCTATTCTCAGCTTTTGATTGTTCGTTGGTAACGGACCTAGTTTTCAATATTGCTTTCTTCATTTCTTGCGATTCCTGAGACATTGCTTCTGGTAAAATACGCTTCCTTATTAGATAACGACCCGTATCTTCATAAGACACGTATATATCTGAAAAAGGTGATGCATTAGTTAGAATGACTTAACAATATTTTTACTTCGATCAGCCTGTTATTTTGTGTTACAAATTTTGTTACAGCTAACTTAATATTTTTCAAATATTAACTGCAAATGTTCAATAAAAAAATTTCTTTATTTTTGTGTTTGAAAAATTATGTTTCATAAATGGTTAGCTATTGATAAAACTATGGAATTAATTACATCATAACCAAAATCCTTATGACTTACGAATACTATAACGATAAAATGTTTCAATTTTCGTAAGAACACCAATAAATTACATATGATTCCCACGTTTTTGTTTCAACTTACTAATAGGGCCACTGCATCACACAACATCTATCAGTTAATAAACACACAAAAGTTATATCATAAATTCACGTCAACAGTATCAAACTTGCTTACATTTGACTTGGAAATACAAAAAATCTATAAATTTTCAATACAATAATGTCAAATTAGTATCACATATTAATATTAAGGGAAAAATATGTCACTATTTACTACAAATTTATATGGAACGTTACAAAGTGTGTATAACATGTATCCTACTAGACACGACGTGTGTATAGTGCGTACATAGTGTTTGTGTGCGTATATAGTGACAGAAAAAACAAGGGTTCAGTAATGCAAAGATGACTTACGGAAGATAGTTTACTGTGACGTGCGCGGAATAAAAATATAGTCATTCAAAATGGCTGACATGGCGTCAGTACGGATCTAAGTCATACATATTGGAATTTGTATGCGATACGAACGGAGTTACTTTCGACCAATTAGAGGCTAGCTGAAAAACGCGGGACTGATGTCACGTAGAGTATCAATTTCAAATGATATGAATTCTGGCTTTAGAATCAAGAATTTGAATTACCGCTTCGGAACCGCCATATTGAATTTTAGTTTGTCCAAGTCTACAACTAGCTTAGATGGCAGTGAAAACAGTGCCTTAAAAATTTACTAAGAGTCGAGGAGCCTTGGGTACTGTACATATGTATATCATAGAGCATTGTTTCATAGATAAGAATCCCGCTTCTTAGCATTCACGTACGACAAAAGGCAGAGTGAATGCAAGCGAATGTGTACAACGCACAACATACAATTCAGTCAAGAATTTCCTAGTTTGTGTTTAATGATGTACTCTCATTCTTATCTGTTTCCATTGATAAGAAAAGAATAAAAGTTCAATGTCAACATTGTTAGTCTCTAATGTATGAAAACATTGAAGTATCAGATAACTCGCGTCACTAATGTGAAAGTATCACTTTATGCCGTACCAAGAACTAGTTAGAGTATTCGTAGAGAATCCTACATATGTACAACGAGATTATTGTCGAGCGCGCAAGATACAAGAATTAAATCGGAATCGATTTTTAATTGTAGATCTGGAATTGTGCCTACAATTACTATGAATAAAACACAGGTTGTATATAATTTTTATTAAATTTCGAATTTTCATTAATTTTTAGTAAACGATAATCAAATTAGATTTTTCTGATGTGGGATTAGTAATCGTATATGATGTCAGCAATATCAAGACAATATGTTAACAAATTAATGATGATTACGAATTTACAATTTTCTTATTGCTCCAATTTTATGATACATATGTTAGTAGTTTTTTAATATGTCTTTTCAGGGTTCAAATCTTGCGGATACAGAGATCGAATTGTTTAATGCAAGTATATTGGAGCGATTGTCGCTTTCCCAGATCGAAGGTTTTTTAATTAGACCTTTAAAATCTGGCGATTATGACAGGGGTATATAAATTTTCAAGAAATTTTAATGCTAAGAATGTTTGATTAAATTTGTGAAACATGTTCTATTTGTTTAACAGGTTTCCTTGAACTTTTAGCTCAATTAACTGAAGTTGGGCATATCGGTAGAGAACAGTTTCTAAGTAAGTATCTTGGAAAAATGATGTTCTTATCGATAAGTTTTACCTATGTATAGAAATGTGCGATATTATTTTTATGTATACAGAACGTTTTCATACAATGAAAAATACTGGCAGCTATTATATAATTGTGATAGAAGATTTGAGCAGTGGAAAAGTAGTAGCAATTGCGTCATTAGTCGCAGAACTAAAATTTATTCACAACTGCGGCGTGGTATGTGTCTAATTTGTGTATTTTACTTTCTTTTCTGTAATTGCCATTTTAACTAAAATGAGAAATCTGTTACAGCGAGGATTTTTACAAGATGTAGTAGTAGATAACAAGTATCGGGGTAAACACCTAGGAAAATTAATAGTGAAAATAGTATTGCAGTTAGCACGTTATTTGCGATGTTACAAATTATCGTTAGAATGTAAAGATAATTTGATACCATTCTACGAAAGTTTAGATTTCAAACGTGAGCCTAACAATGCTAATAGTCTTAACATGAGATTTCCTCATGAAACAACTACGGAGCAATCTCACTTATGATAATCAGTAAAATGCTTTGAAAGCATTGCAAAAGATTGTTGTGTAAAGTCAGTTAGATTTGCATATCAGAATATAAAAAGAAATAATAAATAAAAAATTTTTATTATTTTTATAAACTATTAGGATTAGTTTTGAATCTTGTTTCGATCGCCAGCGTTGGTCTGGCATGTGCTGCCGAGTAATGGAGGACCGGAGTGTGCTGGCGACGGCGACACTGGGATCCATTGGCATCGGCATCGACATCGGCATCATTCAGTCCCATTTGTAAGGTCTCCTCTCCACCACTCTACAGCACATTCCAGACCACCATTATTCTGAACAAATATTTATGTTCTCTTGTAAAAGAATTATTAATGAAACATGTTGTAAAAATAATATGTGATTATATTTTATTGAAAGGATGTATAATATTTTTCAAGAACAATAAATTCAAGTACAAGAAATAATGTTGCAAAACAATTCAAAATCCGTAATCATTAATAGAAGAGAAACTAATCTCACTTTCATCATATTTAATCCATAATTAAAATTGTGACCATGTACCTGTTTGCAGTTCAAAAGTTACGACATTTTTAGATTAGATCTTCTTTGCAGTGATACCGGTTCTTAATTTTACTGCTCTTTTTGCTTCCATTTGCTTTTGCTTGGCTAATTTTCGTTCTTCACGTTTCTTTCTAGCTTCCTCTAATTTGTTATTTCCACTAAGTGTGTTTTCAGCATTTCCTTAAAATAACAAAGAAAAATCACATGAAATATAATTACATATGTACACCAAATGATAATTTGCTAATATAATTATACCTGGCTGTTCCAACGGTTGAAAATCTTCCAAAGGTTGAAATTCTGAGTCTTCCCAAACTACCTCTGGAGACTCATTCTTGTCTTCTATAGTTTGTGCTGCTTCTTCCTCCTAAAAGTAACGTTTGAATTATATTCATTTTCGATGAATGAAGAAGAATGCATATCTATAAAGAGTACAAACTGGTTCTTCCTCCAGATTTGTCCATTGATCGTTAGCTTTTGGAGAATGCGACGATGGCGAAGAATTGTGTGTCCCAAGCGTCGAGGTTGTAGAAGGTTGTTGCTCCATATCGCCCCAATTGTCAGCATCCCAACAATCCCAATCACAGTCAGAATTAGTATTCGTAGCATTTTGTAAGTCATGCTCGTGATCGTGATCTAATGAAGTCATACTTGTCGCGCTACTTGTTGTGGCTGTTGTACTAGCACTGCTTTGAGAACTGCTTGCTTGCTCTGTAATTAATGTACGCGTTATGATAATAAAGCCATCTGAAAATTCAGTTCATTAATATGAGTACAAAGAAATTCTGGATCATAGATACCAAGAGATGCGGGTTTATTTAATAAAATTCTCGATGCATTATGAGGATTTGATGATTTTGGTGTATCCGATTGACTGCGATAAAATTTAGCTGTGACTGCTGTTACAGCCCACCCTGCCCATGTTGCTGCCGCATTACTAAGACTAGGCGTTGCTGTATTTACGTCCGCCTCTAAAATCGAATTGCTTCGATATAGATATCGGTAACTCTATTTAGAAATTTCAATTTCCATATAAGTACCCATGGATTCCCGTAGACCAGGATCCTCCGATACTCTCTCAAGCTTTGACAGGAATCCTCGAATAGTTCTAAACGCATTATCTCGTACTCCCTTGTCCACGTCTGTGGTGAGTGGACACAAAGCTGGTAAAATACGATTCGCAACTTCTTGTAGCAAAAAGTACTGTTGCGTCGCAGCTAATGCTAGAATACCAGCTGTTCTAGCAGGTGGAAAGGAATCTCTGGTACCCCTTATGAAAGCTCCGATCAAAACCTGTAATTTCACGTTGGTTAGACTTTGATTTGCGATAGATTAATCAAATTTCGGCACCTTTTGTCTAATTTGAGGATGAAGATGTTGAGCAATTTTTCCCAAACAAACTGTTGTATTGGTACGTATGCCACCGTGTTCATCCTTAGATTGAAGTTTAGCAAAGTATCTTAATGTTTCCACATTAAGATTGTTATAGTCTAGTTTCGGTGCTAAATGTACAACAGATTTTATCGTTTGTTCCCTAATCGCAGGGTTCGTATCCAAAAAACCTCTAGCTACCTGCAATGGACAACATTAAAATAAATTTAGGATCTTGAGAGAAAAAAGAAGGAACCGTTCTGTCACCCACGAAACTTCGTCATCATTCTGAATCTTCATACCTGTTATTTATGAGGGGTCCCGATCCCTACATAAAAATTTCTAGTATTTTCTATTGTTTAGTAATAAAAGAGATTAGCAATAACCTGTGGAAAGATGGCTTCGTTAACAGTTGCTGGTTGCAAGTGGTCGACAAATCTGTCTAATTGCTGTAATAATCTCAATCTTGTTGCCCGATCGTTCGATGCGAACAATTTTACTACACATGGTACAACTCTTTTCTGATATTCAGCATCGGGTAGTTGGCAACCAAGTTGCAAAAGAGGTGGTAATACTGCGCTACCGGCATCGCCGAACTCGAAGGCAGCCAGTAATTGCGGTAAAATTTTATATCTACCAACACCATCCGGAAATGATTCTAACTGACCAGCGAGTTGGGAAAAAAATCGGCCCTTCTCGCCTCTCTCTTTCATTTGAATTTCTTCTAAAAATAGAAGCGCGTCTACTAGGATATTCTTAAAAAATCCTCCATTGCTGCGACAACGCGCTATCACATCAGCAGGATTTGGTCTTCCTTCTGCGTTGCTACTAGTCAATTCCCGATACACTGTTTGTAACTGTTTCGGAATCTGAAACAGAAATTCGTTCCTATAGCACTATAAAGTCTTTGCTGCAATTGTCAATTTTCTTCGCATTCCTTACTTTATCCGTGTTTTTAAGTTGCGTGCTTGTATTCAGTGAACCGTTATACGTCTCCCAGATCAGGCATCCAAGTCCCCACATGTCAACTGAGCTGTTTTTTATTTATTCATCAGTTTCATAGCGTTAACAATTTTAACCTAAATGTTTACATATAGAAAAGCTAGTATTGTAATGTAAATTTTGATAGCAGGACAACTAATTTTTAGTCTTTACCAAACAAAAGAATTTACATTGACAATGTTTTATACGTTAAATAAGTTGAAGCTACAAACAAAAATAGTTTAGTTCTACCGAGAAACAATTAAATAATTTACCCTAATAAAATATCTTTACCATTTAGTGGCTGGCTTTACATTTTCTGGACTGTCTAGAGGATAATAGGATTGGAATGTTGATGGCAAAGTACTGTAAACAGCATCTACCGTTGTCATATATTCAACTCCTCCTAGTTTCCATTCTCCGCTTTCTTCATTTACAAAAACAGTCCATAAATTGACGTTGTTATGTCTCAAATTACCATCATTGTTTAAGAAGTTCAGTGCCCTCTGTCAACGATACAAATTAAATGTTCGTCTTTATAATGTCGAAAGTTACTTTGGCTACTAGCATACATACTGTAATTTGAAATATTCCCCAAGAAAAATACAATTCCCTTTTTGGTTCCTCGTCGCTTTCAGATTTCCTGGTTAAACGGTTGTATAATGGTTCTACTCGTTCGGTTGCTAAATATAACATTTTATCAGTCTAAAATAAACAAAAACTAATTAATAGAACTATTAGGTGAGCAATTGATTTAATATGCTCCGTAATTATACCTCGAGGCTATCTAGATATGCAAGAATACTGGGATGTCTAAGAGTCTTTAATCGTTTCACTGCCGATCGTGCTAAACCTGAAAGATGCTCATTACTACTCTTGAACTCAAAGACAAACACAGAGACATCTTCACCACCTGTAGAACCCTGCGTAAAAACTTCGAGTTACAAAAAATATATTTTACAAATCTGGAAGGAATAAATATTTATAAAATGGAACTCGAACGTTTCCCCAAATAATTTTCACGTCAATGTGAACAAAAATAGCTTCGTTAACAAACTGCTTTAGTAAAAGAAATGTGAATCATAATATTTAGATTATTTACTAAAATTAGTATTTTGCAGTATCAAAACGCACAAGATCCGATTTAATATTTTATGGTGTCAGGTTATAATACCTTCTTTTTTGCTCTATATAATGTCCAAATGTTTTTGTCATCCAAACCGGGTACTTGTTCACCAATTTCATATGGAAAATCTTTGGTAGGGTCGCGCGAGAAAAAGGACCACATTTTCGCGGTTTAACTACTTGTTGGTGTATAAATCAGGATCATCCTTCGACTAGTAACACATTGTGATGTCATTGACAGCTACGCATCAACCTACATCTGCAACCAAATTGTGTTTCGCGAATGTGCTTGCGTTGGATGTGGGTATCGATGTTACGTAAATCAATTTGAAATTTTAGGAAGAGCGTTAATTCATTTCTTTCATTGCATTTCTGGGAATATTTTCTGTTATTTATCCGCTACTTTGTGGTTATTAAAAGATCTCTTAGTACATACTATACTAACACACACACACAGATCTATTATTAAAATCTAACACTAACCTAACCCAACAAATTATAGTGGAGACCGTAACGAGAAAGGTTAGGTAAAGTTAGATTTTGAATCAAATTATGTACATATGTTCATGCCAAACTGTAATAATATCATAAGATATGTAATGGAAAAATCTCGTCATGTTTGACATTCATTGTCATATTAATGCTTGATTTCAAGTATGAACGAAGTTGGTCCATCGTTAGTGACAACTTATGCGTTCAAAAGTGGTAAAGAATACATCGTCAAGATAAAAGTGACAGCTTTTAAGGAATATCAGAAAAATTTGGAGCTCACCATTACTGATAAATATACCAGTGAAAATTGGCAGTCCTCCTACGACGCTGCATGTTTGTTATTCAAATTTCTTGTGGTTTATACAAAGTACTTATTGATTTGAAGTTATGAACTTTTTTTAATTTTTAAGATATTGAAAATTTAACGCACAAAACCGGAAATTACAAGCATTTCGATGTATTTGTTGCTATGCTGCAATCTGGGTTGTTGAAAGTAAAATATATAATCTACCTATTTAAATAAAGTAAATGAGGTTCAAACGGAACTTAATTGCAGACTAGCGAATCTATAACCTTGGATCTCCTCACATTCGAAGATCTTGAACTGTTACGTACACGTAGACTCGAACGTAATACCTGCTCAAGTTTGAATAATACGACAAACAATCGTCGATACCTTATATTAACATACACGGTAGAATTTGATCGGTATGTATCACTTAATGACAAATATTTTGAAATCTTCGCATACCTCGTTACTTTACAAAATCTGTCTTTTCTCAAGAATTCATTATCCATTACCTTTGGAATACTGTGGTCTACCTGATCCAATAATACTGCAAGCTACCGTTAAGAGATTACAAGCTGAAATCGAAAAGTTACAGTCTATAGGGAAAAGTAAAAATCTGCTGAAACGTATTGAACATCTTACGATTGCGAATCAGAAACTTGTTCAAGAGAATCAAAGACTTTCGAATGGAGGTAATTTCATACACATTCATGTTTGCAAATAAGTCTTTCATATTATTAATACGCAGGAAAAGGTTTAAAGCGCATTTTAGGGTCTATAAAGTCTTTAGAAAATAACGTGACAAAAGAACGTGCATCTTTTCGAATACAAATACAGAAACTTAAAGTTGAGAATGCAGCTCTGTTGTTAAAAGTAAAACAACTTACTGAATCTGCTGGTAGAAAACCTGGAGATGGTGGCTCTGCATTAAAATGTCATAGTCGCTCTTCTTCTATACGAACAAATTATACAAATTCTAGACAAAGCAGAAGTCGTTCTTCGTCAATATCTAGTCATATTAAAACATCTAGATCTAGTTTGTCACCAGGTATTAATAAACATTAAAATACTATTGATATTCGAATAAAAATTCAGTGTTTGAAATATTAATATATGTAGGTAGTTCCATGGAATCACTTAGAGTTCGTAGCTCTCCTTCTCGAAATGTGAAAACACGTAACAGGACAAAGGATTCAAGTTAGTATTAAAGGCAACAATATATTTCTCTTCATCGAATAAAAACAATTTCTTTGTAGAAACTGATTATGAGAGCTTGGAATCAAGAATTTACACATTGCAAAAAATGTTAAAGGAAGGAATACATTTAAGTTGACAGATTGTTATCAATATATACAATATCAAGTATTAAAGTACATTAATGCTAATATCAACATTATTATTGTACTTTATATATATATATATATATATATATATACATACATGTACACTACAGAGATGACTTTAAGTGAAATGACAAAGTAATATCAGATCGTTGTTTTAAATAACAAAAAGTCAAAATATTATTTCACCTACTATATAAATCTTTTTAAAAAAATATATTTAGTCTCAAATATCATTGAAAATAAAAAAGGAATCACATATGTGAAGATCTAAGTAGAAAATATCAGATATTTTCTGACCCTGTGCCTTCAATTATATACAAAATCTTTTACTATATATGCTATAGAAAGTATTTTTTATGTACACTGCAGCATTATAAATGTATTTCTTATTTGTTGCTGTCATCGTATTATACCGACACTATCACATTTGTTAATCCTCAGCCGACTGTTACAGACAAATTTTGCTCACATAACGGCGCTGTAACAGTGTGCGTGAGCAGGTGGTAAATACTCGGCGCTACCGACACACAGAATATGAAAAAAAATATCTGACCCAGAGGAATTCTTTCTTCCTCATGGTGACTATGAAGCGAGTTGCGCGGTTGCGTGTGGTGGTACCTTCAGCTATTGTTATGCCCTGTTTTCGTAATACAAGGGGGCTGAATTTGCACATAATCATCGTACGTATGCTTTGCAAGTTGCTGTCGGCCGAGGGTTAATAAAGTTATAAAATTACAGTTACTTGAGTTTGTCTGTTCTTACATCGTTCTGATAATATACTATAGCTTTCTCAACTAATGACTGTCCATCATTCTGTATATCCTTACATGTATCAGCATTCTGTTTCCCGTTCAATTGATCATTTTGATTGCTTGTTTCTGTTGCTATACGTTTGGTTGGCAGTTTGTATTTTGTATATTTTGATAAAGATTCAACAGCCTCCTGTAGATATTGTATTTCGGCTTCTTGTTTGGACATAATTGTATTTAATTTTTCAATATTGCTGATAAAGTTCTGTATTTGTTCAAGGCGTGCTTCCTCTTTTTTTGCTTCTTTCGCTACTTGACGATTATATTCTAACACTAAGCAACCACCGGCAACGCTAAAAATGATTACTTCTCCCATCAAATTTGCTCCTAATTCTATTGCCATAGCTTCATTCAGTTTGGCAACCTTTGTGGGTTTACCAAGATTCATAACATACATTTTAGCTTTTACTTCAGCCCAATGATAAACTGTAAAATCAAGTTGTAATTATAGAATATTTAGCAATACAATTGTGAATTACTTAATCTCTATTCTTGACAATAACATCGATATAAAACGATCTCATTGCGGTAGAAATGAGATAATTTTATTTGAAAAATATTCTTACTTACATTGCGCTGGAGGTATGATAAAATAGGTCCTAAATAGAGGATGATTTTTCGCTTGACTAACAANAAGGCAACAATATATTTCTCTTCATCGAATAAAAACAATTTCTTTGTAGAAACTGATTATGAGAGCTTGGAATCAAGAATTTACACATTGCAAAAAATGTTAAAGGAAGGAATACATTTAAGTTGACAGATTGTTATCAATATATACAATATCAAGTATTAAAGTACATTAATGCTAATATCAACATTATTATTGTACTTTATATATATATATATATATATATATATACATACATGTACACTACAGAGATGACTTTAAGTGAAATGACAAAGTAATATCAGATCGTTGTTTTAAATAACAAAAAGTCAAAATATTATTTCACCTACTATATAAATCTTTTTAAAAAAATATATTTAGTCTCAAATATCATTGAAAATAAAAAAGGAATCACATATGTGAAGATCTAAGTAGAAAATATCAGATATTTTCTGACCCTGTGCCTTCAATTATATACAAAATCTTTTACTATATATGCTATAGAAAGTATTTTTTATGTACACTGCAGCATTATAAATGTATTTCTTATTTGTTGCTGTCATCGTATTATACCGACACTATCACATTTGTTAATCCTCAGCCGACTGTTACAGACAAATTTTGCTCACATAACGGCGCTGTAACAGTGTGCGTGAGCAGGTGGTAAATACTCGGCGCTACCGACACACAGAATATGAAAAAAAATATCTGACCCAGAGGAATTCTTTCTTCCTCATGGTGACTATGAAGCGAGTTGCGCGGTTGCGTGTGGTGGTACCTTCAGCTATTGTTATGCCCTGTTTTCGTAATACAAGGGGGCTGAATTTGCACATAATCATCGTACGTATGCTTTGCAAGTTGCTGTCGGCCGAGGGTTAATAAAGTTATAAAATTACAGTTACTTGAGTTTGTCTGTTCTTACATCGTTCTGATAATATACTATAGCTTTCTCAACTAATGACTGTCCATCATTCTGTATATCCTTACATGTATCAGCATTCTGTTTCCCGTTCAATTGATCATTTTGATTGCTTGTTTCTGTTGCTATACGTTTGGTTGGCAGTTTGTATTTTGTATATTTTGATAAAGATTCAACAGCCTCCTGTAGATATTGTATTTCGGCTTCTTGTTTGGACATAATTGTATTTAATTTTTCAATATTGCTGATAAAGTTCTGTATTTGTTCAAGGCGTGCTTCCTCTTTTTTTGCTTCTTTCGCTACTTGACGATTATATTCTAACACTAAGCAACCACCGGCAACGCTAAAAATGATTACTTCTCCCATCAAATTTGCTCCTAATTCTATTGCCATAGCTTCATTCAGTTTGGCAACCTTTGTGGGTTTACCAAGATTCATAACATACATTTTAGCTTTTACTTCAGCCCAATGATAAACTGTAAAATCAAGTTGTAATTATAGAATATTTAGCAATACAATTGTGAATTACTTAATCTCTATTCTTGACAATAACATCGATATAAAACGATCTCATTGCGGTAGAAATGAGATAATTTTATTTGAAAAATATTCTTACTTACATTGCGCTGGAGGTATGATAAAATAGGTCCTAAATAGAGGATGATTTTTCGCTTGACTAACAAGAAATTTTGCTATAGGTTTACTGATTTGTTTAACAAACAACACTCCCAACTTGAGAGCCGGAAATACACCCACTACCATTTTCACTGAATATTTCCAACACCTGCGATTAAAAATTGTTCGCGTCACATCCGAAAAATCTGAAAAAATTATAATATGCATATGAAAAGCTATTGTAGTATTTGTTTACTAGATCAGTACATTAATCGTTTTCATTGTACGTTTCATTCATGTTTTTACGTATAAAATATAACAAATACGTTATTATTGCAAGGAGTTATATTTGCAATGGAAGTCACTGCGGAAAAATTCGATTTCATCTTGTATTCTCCATTTGGAAGCCAATATCTCACCTCTGAAATTAGTTCAATTCAGATGGTTCAGAGTGTAGCGAAGACGGTGGAGACAGCCATCATGGTACGATAGGGAGGTCATGCTATGTATGTACATACATACATATCAACACGTCTATGTTACTTTGCATGTTTATGGACCTTGACATAGTGAATTCTATGAATGGATCATACTCCTGCACGACTTCGGGCCGTAGCATGATCGGTAAGCTAGTCCTAGAATAGGACTAGAAATTGTTTCTCTTTGATTGGCTTGCGAATCATTACTGAGGCAAGATGCACTGTTTATGGTAGAGACACAACACAGCTGTTTGCTTCGAGAGGTAGAAAACTTGCAGGAGTAAGACCCGATACATTTATATATATATGTATTACTATGTGTATTAGCTTCACTCCTGTACAGTTTTCTTTCTCTCTAAGCAAGCGCTTGTATCCCCAATTTTATTGTGTACCCAATCCACGGTGAATCCTGTCTTAGTATTGAATCGTCAGTCAATCAGAGCAAAACAATTTCTATCTCCAGCTTCGACTGCTTAGCAAACTGCGGCACAGAGTTGTGTATAACTGAAGCTACAAATGTATATGGTGTACGATGTGACCAAAGCCAAAATATATAATATATGTAATTTATTCATATGTAGCATTGTTCTCGAAAAAACGAATTTTTAAAGTCATGACATACATGATACGTTTATGATTACGTAGCAACTTTTCCAAGTGTATTTCGAATACTGGTACACCCTGTATGTTGTTATACATGCATATGTACATACGTCGGCAGCAGTATGTTCAGATTGTATACAACGAAAAGTAGTAGGGATAGCACTGGCATGAAAATCCATGTTACCGCCATTTGACGCGACTGTACATATGTTTGTACATGCAGTTGCGTTCGAATTGCATGCATGCGTACACCTACTATTCATTCGTGTAATATGGGCTATGGATGCTATCTCTACTACTACCCCCACCCGAGACACTTGCGCCGGTTCCGTCGTAATCTGAGCACAATGATCGACAGCTAACTTCACGACACTGATGAGTATTGTACAACATACTCACATACACATATACACACATATGTAGATGTGCTTGTACATATGTAACTGTACATAACTAAAATTCATAGTCGTGTTCGCACCTAGTTTTATGGCAATATTTTTACCGAGCAGTGAGAGTATATTAGAAACTTTGATAGAATGAGCAACAATTACGTATTTATAATATGGGGTTTCTTAATGCATTTAATTATTCTATGGGGTGTACTCGATGTAAATTTTCATTCACCTATTGTACAAGACTTACCAAGCGTAGAGATTTTGAAAAATGCACCGGCCAAGAGATTACTTTTATTTGTGGCAGATGGTTTAAGGTTCAGAACATTTATCGAGGCTCCGCCAAACTTCCTCAAGTGATTAATTTTAACAAATGCAACAATTAAAGCGTATTTTAATTTCAATTTACATAATGATTTTAATTACAGATATGTGATGTTAAATAAAGGTGTTTGGGGTGTATCACACACACGTGTGCCCACAGAGTCGAGACCAGGTATTGTTGCAATTTGTGCTGGTTTGTACGAAGATCCCAGCGCGATTTTTAAAGGTTGGAAGGAAAATCCCGTTGACTTTGACTCTGTGTTTAATCGAAGCCATCTTTCATGGGTATGGGGAAGTCCTGACATCGTACCTATCTTTACGAAAGGTACTATAAATTTTTAAACATTGTATTTTTGAAGTTTCATGCAATAGCACACAATATCTATATTATTTTTTATAAATAGGTGCAAAAAAACATATACAAGGAGAGAGCTATCCAGCCGAGTGGCAGGACTTTGACATAATGAAAGGTCAAATTTGGCGTTTAGATTCCTGGGTATTTGACAAATATCTGAACTGGCTTCGGGAGGAAGCTCATAATGTAAAACATTTGGATCGTACTCTTTTTTTCCTTCATCTTCTCGGTTGTGATACTACGGGCCATACAGCAAAGCCTCATTCTAGGTATCTAAATATTATGGTTATACGCTATTACCATAAAAGTTCAATGCAAAAATTATACTTCATAATTTCATTAGCTTGGAATTGAATTTAAATGCAGAGAATACACCGATAACATGAACTATGTTGATCGGAAAATAGAAGAAGTTGTGCAAATGACAGAAACTATTTTTAAAGATAATGCCACAGCATACATTTTCACAGCTGATCATGGAATGACCGATTGGGGATCACACGGAAGTGGTTCCACGGATGAAACAGAAACACCATTAATTGCTTGGGGTGCTGGAATTGACCATTTCAATTCCAGACAAGATGTAGAACAAATAGATATTGCATCGCTGATATCTAATTTGATCGGCGCTCCCATTCCTACTAATAGCGAAGTGCGTATTGTATCGAATCTATTGTAACATTATGCTTCTCTTAAAATACTTTTTTTACATTTATATGTACCATTCTTGTAGGGTGTTTTGCCATGGCAATATCTAAGCGCCACAAATCTGGAATATACGAATGATGCTTTATTAAATAATTTAAAACAATTGTCTCATCAAGTAAAAGCAAATCGTGAAATTATTTGTGAAGACAGCAGATTTACAGACCAAAGAGTGACACAATTGTACAACAAAATTAATACTTTAGAGAAACATCTTGGTACAAAAGATTTAAGTAAAAGGTTTGATGAAACAGTAGACACCATTAAGCTAGCTAAAGAATCGTTACTATATTTTCGTCAATACCAAAGAACGCGATTATTAATATATTTATCCACAATGTGGTTGGGATGGATAGTGCTATTATTTTCAAAAATAGCTGGAACTGAACGACGTATTATCAATCGTTTTATTTTATTAGTCGCAGATATTGCGTTTGTATGCATTTTAATCACCATATTTCTTCTATATAAAGGTACAATATCTATCTACACTACTTGTAAATAATTATTTGAAGAGAGCACGCATTTTCACATAAATGAAATAGTTTCAGATTGCAGAAATTGGAGACCACCCTGTTATGCAGCTGTAGCAGTAACTTCTCTTTGGTTAGCTGTTAGAAGCACAATTCAAAATTCAATAAATTTAAAAATTGAAAATGATAGTCAATCATGGTCGAAAATTGCAGGAATAGTGATATTACTGGCAACAATGTTTTTAGGACTAGCATACAGATCTGTTTTAACTGTGGGAATGATATGCACCGCAGTTATTCAGAAAGTAGTGTTGAAACGTACTCGGTATTTGTTTTGGACAGCTTTATCTCTAGCAGTTTTTCCATTGTTACCTGTTGTAGAACCCTATCCCCGCGTTTACATTGTGTAAGTGTGCGCAAGCACTAAGCCATCGTAACTTGTCTACATTTTGTTAAATTAATTTACTTTATATCTTTCATTTTTCAGACTTTCCAGTATATGCATTATGATCGTACTAGCATTTTTTAAATTGGGATCACATTCCAGAATGGCAATGGAAATTTTACGACTAATAATTACAGGCTTGATATACTTTGGATTCATAGATGGACGAAGTTGGATGTCATGGCTGCTTTTATTCACAACGCCATTATATATTTGCACCGGTTCCACAGAATTAAAAACTAGAATGCATGAAGTGGTTTTCGGCTTCTTCTGCCCGCTCGTATTATTGTCAGCATCTTACGAACCCCTGTTTTTTATACTGCTCGGAGTGCATTTATCTTGCTGGCCTCGAAATAGCATATATTCTAGTCAAGATCACCGAAGAACTGATTCATCTATAACAATGGAAGAACTGTTGAAGGCAGCGATCTTCGTATCCTTTTCTTCGAGTGCAGAAATGCCCGTAATTGCGTTTTGAACTATTTAATAATTATCTATATATAGTTATACATCCTGAACTACTTATCATAGATGTTATATACATTACTGAGTTTCTTTGGAACCGGTAATATGGCGAGTATCAGTTCGTTCAACCCATCCTGGACACGCCATTTTGTCACAGTATTCTCACCATTCGTAATGTTCTCGTTAATACTTTTCAAAATTAGCGTACCTTTAATGCTGGTTGGATGCACGAGTCACTTATTGGGATCGTCAAACATCTTCTTAGCAGTGCTTCTGCTAGGAGATTGCCTATCATTACCACTCGTATATTATGTTACTCCTCAAGGAAGTTGGTTAGATATTGGTAGCGCTATCAGTAGATTTACAATCGCGATATCTCTTCCATGTCTTTTATTATTGTTCTATTATTTATCATATCCACTTATGACATTTTCTTTTCATAAATTTAAACATTCCCTGCTTTCAGAAAAAAAGCATATCGTGTAAACAAGATGCATACAGACATGCATAAATGTTCTAACATTTTGTTATATTTTTAATAAGGTAACTTAATGGCAATCGGTATCTTCTTTATAGAGTAATATAACCCTTGGCAAAAAATATTCCAATACCTTTTAAAGCGCAATAACTTTTTTAAAACTGGACTAAATAATTTGAATTTTTGTAAATGATAAAGGGACTTAGTAAATTCGGTATGGGTAGTCTCGTCTCGGTAATGTGTATTTTTTCTCTCCGTCAAAATAAAACATTTTCATTCTTATATATAATTTGGGTATTTATTAAATTTAAAATTTAAATTCTTTATACTTCTTAGAAGCTTTCGAGTCTTGACCTTGTTGCCGTTTGCGTTTGCTCTGCGAAGAAAATTCTTTACGTTAACATCCGTTAAGTAGCTAACGATTAGTTTATTAATAATCTACATATGCACTTACTTTTTGTCGTTGGACATGATCCTGAAGCATGTCCGAAAGATCTTCTCTCCTCAAATGAGCCTGACGTGACCGCATAGTTTCCTCGTACCGCGATGCCATTGCTTCAGAGTCTAGATCCAACTCACTCGGATCCAATGCCAGTTCAACGGCTCCATCTTTCTCCGTTCTTCCATCCGATGTTGTTCCGCTTACACCACGTCGTGCAGCGATCACCGATGGAGGTGCTTGACCACCTGCAGCACCCGTCATATCGTATACATGCGTGCTACCCATCATGCTGGCGCCAAGACCTTCTGTTCGTCGTTCTTGTAGAACCGTATACAAAGCAGGCGTGTCTCCGCCTTCCATTTCGCTTTCAATTTTCTTTTTTCTCAACTCGATCGTTTCCGGCGTCTCCAAGCCCGCAGGAATCGATGTGATTCCACTCGGCGTTATCAAACCTTCTGCACCGGGTGTAACCAACCCGCTCGCATCTCCGTCTGTATCCTTTCCTTCTCCTTCACCTTCTCCACCTTCCTCCGCATCTTCGTCCTCGTCTTCGTCTCCGGATGATTCTGATTCAGGTTCGCCCCACATGCCCCTGTCGACCTCCTCGTCCATTGCATCACCACCTGGTGCACGAGAGATTCCAAACACGTCTCCGTACAAAGGTCGTCCAGTTTCATCCACAGGAGGCTTTCCCCAGCCACCAGCATGATATCCAAACGCGCATCCCTCGGGTATAGGCGCATTCAAACCGGGTATCTTTAAATTTGGATAACTCGGTGGCGGTCCGTAACGTTGCATAGCGATTAGCCATGGTGGCGGAACTTTGTGACAATTGGGCCCCACTGGCATACCAAGTGCGGTACGCAATTCGTCGGATAGTTCTCCAGGTTTTTTCTCCTTCAAACGTGTCTCGAATTCTTTGCCCTCGTAGTACAGGTCACCGTGAATAGTCATACGAGGTTTCGTTTGCCACTTGAAAAATGCATCGTGCAGTTTTTGATAGTCGATGTCTATTTTACCAAGCTTGGGTCTCGCTCTTTCCCTCATTTTAGCTTTTAATGTGCGCGTGTCGTCTCGTTCTTGGAGACTCGCTCTCATCTCGGTGATTCCTGTACGTTTTATAAAGTCTGGTAAGTCGAAAGGAGGCTTCTCGATACCACGTTTGCCCTGAAGATATTTCCGCTTGAAACACCAGTGTCTCGGCACAGGTACTGTATTGCGGTGAGCTTTCAATTGTACAAGGAGTTTTGGATCCCTGGCAGTAACGTCGTGCATTTCTACGACATCGGGACGACCTACTAGTTGCTTCAGTTCTGCTACGCTCAACCGTGTTAGCCTTTTTAGTTTTCTCTTGGAGAGACGCGGAGCACCATTTTCTCCGGTTCCCTGCTGTTGTTGCGGTTGATTCGCATCGTCGTCAAAGTCATCTAACGGTGGCACTTTGCTAGGTACAGTTCCCGTTGTTTGTAAATTTGTTACAGGAGGATACTGTCCTATCGGTTCACCTTTATCCGCTTCGGCAGACTTTGGTTCAGGTTCGGTCAATTTAAATGCTTCAAAGATTCTAGCAAATTGACGGTACATCGGTTCCAAATCATTTATACTGGGAATCTCCTGAATATACTCGATCTCCGGCATATTATCTTTAGGTTTTGAATTCTCTATATCGTCTTTTTTATTTTCTGCCTCTTTGCTTATATTATGTTTTCTCCTCTTTTTCTTTTTCTTCTTTTTAGTTTTATTGGACTTTGCATCTATTTTCTCCGTTGCTGCTTCAGGTTCAATTATTACGTCATCTAATTGTGTCGGGTCTTCCCCTACATTTTCGTGATTAGATGACTTTTCTAATGAAACTATATCGTTAGGATCTGCCCCTACCTCTTTGGCTCTCTCAGTTTTGAAAGCTAGAGCCTGTTCTAAAGCCGCTGGTAGTTTCATCGAATCGCCATCTACTTCTCTTCCTCCGTCATCCACCGAATTTTGATTCTGTAATTCGCTCGGTGGACTGACCTTTAGGCTCAGTAAACTAGGTAACATTTTAGGAGGCTCCATTCCTGGAACTCCATGGTTACTGTTTGGAGACGTGCTCATCATTGGTGGCATCGAATGAGGAAGTTGTTTATTCTGCATTTAATATCGATAAATAAACATTACTAACCAGACGTGGTTATATAAATTCGCGATTGATAAACAATCATTCTTAATCGAATGAATTAACTATTTATTTGAAAAAATCAAATGTAAATAACGCTTTGCATCTTCAAATAAAAACAATACTAACCTCACTTCCTGGTATATTTTCCATAGTAAACTTCACTATTTCTGTACTACTATATTGGGATTTGTATTTTCTCACAACTTAATACAAATATTTTATCATACTTGTACTGACTATAGTAGTGCTTCGCTATATAGTAAGCCCATGCGAAGACAACCGGCTTAGAATCATGAAGCAGGTAGAGAAACTGTTTCTCCTCTGATTGGTTGACGTTTCAGAGCTAAACAGTGTTGCCCTCGCAGTTTTAGACAAAGAGAGGAAGCGACGCGTAAGCAAGAGAGCACGACATCGGCACAATCGCAAGCGAAACAAGTCCCACCGACGACCAATATAATTTGTCTCACTTTATCATGAACCGTTATTACATAGCACACAAATGCATTTTTATTCCATGACGAAAATTATTTCGAACGTAACTGGGCTTCGTCCGCTCGGTCGTGTCACGCCAGCTGATCCCACCTCTCATTGGTCAGTGTTTTTCATTGATAACTTGTAAATAAAGCCGCGGTTTCTATTTTCGCTAAGAAAAAAGTTACTTCGAATGATTTCAGAAATTATCTCCTTCCGGGTGTTAAAATAATTATGAGACACCTTGTATATCTTACATATGTATTGTATTATAAAACGAGAGGCGACAGCGACACTTTCATGTACATATTTGGTGGTAAACAATTTACAACGAACGAAACTTCAAAACAGTGACCATTATATTAGACCATATGTGATGTACTATACAATATATACTACTAGTCGCAGCATGTGTACGTATTTATTGAAGGATGTGTATACCCCTACTTTACTAAACTGCTCATCTGTGATAGAGTCACAGATGGAGTCACGTGACATTTGAGGGAACTCACTGCAACGGTGCTGACGACACAGTCGTTGGAATCCATTGGCATCATCCAATTCCATTTGCGAGGTCCCCTCTAACTCTCAGCAGCACATTTTAGACCAATCTCCGAAAACGCTCTGTCGTGGTCGTGGTCGTGGTTAAAGAGATGATTCTACCTTTGCAAAAGAAAATTATTTGAAACCGTGTCCATTTTTACATGCATTTATTTTGAGAACAGTCTCAAATTTGAAACGCGCTTTGATTAAAATAAGTATATCGTTATCATCATCATCATCATCATCATCATCATCATCATCTTTATATAGTAATACCTCAGGTTTTGCACGATTTTTCCGGCTCCCTTAGCTTTTGCAAGCATCTCACCATTTTACTGCGCATCCAATCCGCAATGAATCCCGTCTTTGCATCGAATCTTCAGCCAATCGAAGCAAAGCAATCCGCTAATGGAGCAAACTTGAGGTACGACTGTATCAGAAAGGAAATTTCCATCTATGTGCATACGCATGATGGCACATGGGTATTCATATGCTTATTGAAGCGCTCCGTAATTCAATCGTTTACCACACCATTCTACGAGAAATACATAGCATGTATTCTTGTATGCATAGGTACAGTAATGGGATCTGCTCTTGCACACCTCTAGGCTGCAGCTTGATCCACTAGCGAGGATCGATACAGAAATGTTCTTTGCTTCGATTAGCTGACGATTCATTGCTGGGACAGGATCCACAGCGGATTGAATGCGCAGTAAAATGGTGGGAATGTGCGCGTCAGCTTAGAGAGTAAGAGAAGTGTGCAGAAGTCCATTACTGTACACGTATTACATACATATAACGAAACAACATACGCAGCTACCTGCACAACGAACAGCTGTTCGAGTCGAAAACGTTCTAAATATTATTTGAAGAAACTCAATTTAGAAGCATTATATTTATCGCATTAAAAAAATTAATGAAAATAGGTTACTAGTTGTAGATGTTAAATTTGCTTGAGATTCGTGGTATTCAGTCTTCAGAATATTCATGAATACTTAGAACACAACGAATATGATATCTGTATCAGTATTTGCCATGTTAGCTGTCAAATAAATGGACGTAACTTAAACGTGTGAATTGAAAGGAACTGGTAACATTTTTAAAATGGATGTTGTGACAACTAGTTTGGAGGCCTTAATACGTAAGTTATAATTCAGTATTTAGATTTTAAATGCAATGAATATTTCGTACACAATGCTCGTTTCACAGAAAGAGTAACAAATCCACAAAATCAGAAACCCGATATCGCAGCTAGCGAAGCTTTTTGTGTAATGTTAACCAAAGAACCGGAAGGTATTCAGATTGGCACAAAATTATTGGCTTTACATATTCAATCGTCTAATGAAACAGAAGCGATACAAGCTCTTGCTGTAAGTTTATCGATAAACTCGTTGATAATTTATTCCGTTTTATTTGAGTTATGCTTCATTATATAGTTAATGCTCTTTAATACTATTGTAGTAAATCAAATAACTAAATCGTAGCTAATGATTTCTTAGTTATAACCAGTTTTAATGATAACACAATAAAATTCAAGATGCTATTAATTCTATAGCTGTTGGACATGTGTATGCGAAGATGTGGATCACCTTTCCATGCAGAAATTGGTAAATTCCGTTTCTTAAATGAAATGATACGTTTAGTTTCACCAAAATATTTGGGTGGAAAAACAACAGTTCTGGTGCGTCACAAAGTATTACAATTATTACACGCATGGACAAAAGAATATCCACGTGAAATGAAAATCAAAGAAGCATACGAAATGTTGAAAAAGCAAGGTGTTATAGAGGTTGGTTTTGCGTATAATTATTATTTGTGTATCACAGTTTTATTTGTTTAACGTTATTTCTGGTAAAACACACCAGTAAACAACGTTTGTACACTTAGGATGATTCGTTGTGCACGATTAATGCTTCAGAGGATGTATCGAAAGCTTCAAAAACTAAGCATACAATATTCTACGACGAAGAAAAGTCCAACTTGTTGCAAAAATTACTTCAAAGTAAAGATCCCGATGATTTACTGTGTGCGAATAGATTAATCAAAACTATGGTGAGAGAGGTAAGTAAAAAATATCTAGAATATTATATAACTATGTTAGGTACATCACCTATTATTTTATAGGATGAAAGAAGAGTACAATTGAATTCACGTAGGATAATGGAATTAGAATCTGTACATAATAACGCCAAGTTACTATCGGAAATGTTAGATTCCTATAATTGGAAAGAGACTAGTAAAGAAGATCTCGATTTGATGAAGGAATTAAAACAAGCCTGTGAAAGATTAAAACCAATTGTTCTCAGATTAGCGAATGAAACTCAAGATAATGAGGAAATGCTTGGTAAGTATCCGATACTAATCAAATTTAATTTGAACGATATGTATTATTATATGTAATATCGAATAATAATGCATAATCTGCATTAGGCGATGTTCTTGCTGCAAGCGATGAATTGGGGCAAGTTTTTGAAAAGTACTCCATGGTAATAGATCGCGGTGAATGTTTGAACACTAAAATGGACTCCAATGTTAGTCCATATTTACTGGATTTATCTTCACCGTTAGAAAACAGTTCTATCGAAAGGAGCGAAGTACACAAAATTTATGATATTGCTACAACTAATCATCAGTCTGATATGGAAGTTTTAGGGGATATATTCAACTCATTAGGGAGATCTGAAAATACAGAAATTCCTTCTGTTTCTTCCACAAATCTATTAATACCTAACTCGATGATCATGCAACCAATTAGTATGCAACTAACAAGTAAGAAAGGTCGGTAAAGCGAAAACATTTGACATATGTTCGTCTCAACTGAACAACATAAAATTTTGAACAGATTCAATATTTTCAATAAGAGATTTTTGTCTCCTTTTACCAATGATAATATACAGTTATCGATGAACACATTTATTCGATCGACAGGTGAAGTAGTCGATCCACCCGAAGAGAAATTGGATAGTAAATCGAGAGCATTGGAGGAACTGAATGAATTGGGGGAGTCTTTGCTTAAACAAAGTTTATCGAGTTCAATATCAAATATCCGATGTAATTCGACAAGGTCGGTAAAATACCTACGTAATGAAGATAAATAGCGTGTACATGTAACATGTACAATTGCCTCGGAAAGTACGTTAACGCCTTTTCATACGGAATAACTTTTTTAAAATTGGTCCAAAGGACTTAAATATTCTTGAGATGTTAGACCGACTAGTAGTTCTCTTTGAAACGAGTATACAGAAAATTTTTTAGATCGCAATTGATTGGAATGTTAAAAAAATTCGATGAAATTTTCAGCATGCTTATAAGTTACCGTAATCTACAAAATACATTTTTTACACTTTCGTTATGGGTCAGATAAAAAAATTGAATAAACAATTCTTCATTTTTTTATCATTCCAATCAATTATAATCCAAAAAACTTTTTGTATACTCATTTCATAGAAAACTAGTCGGTCTAACAACTCAAAAATATTCAAGTTCTTCGAACCAATTTTAAAAAAGTTATTCCGCTTGAAAATGTGTTAACGTACTTTCCGAGGCGACTGTACATCGAGCATCCCGCACCACACGCACACACACGTGTATAATGTTGCATCAAATCTTTTATTTTCTTAATTGTTTATATATTTTTACAGTAAGGAGGCTATAAACAGCACGGTGCATACAGAATTTCCGTCGAAACATTGTAACTCAACATCGCTTCCTAGCAACGATTCTCATATTGCTGAAACATTGGATACTGTAAATGCAACAAATGATAAATCAGTTTCTACTTGCATAAATCATATTGCTCCTATAAATGAAAAGAAACCCCAAGACAGTATGTTAGTTACTTCAACGACACAAGATATTCTTCTGAAAGAACCAGAGATCAAACCGTTGTCAGACATAAACGTTAGTCTTCATGATATTAAACCAGGTACTTATCGTTTACATGTTCATGCTTTATAACTAAAATTTTTAATCATTTGAGAATAAAGCTTAAGAAGCTTTAAGAATCTTACATTGTATCGCTTTTCGAATAGGGATTAATCCACCTATAACCGTGCTCGAAGAAAAAAATGGAATAACCGTTGTGCTTCATTTTGCACGGGACAATCCTAGACAAGATGTATTTATTGTCGTAATTACAACAATAAGCAAAAATTTGAAGCCACTTGGTAATTACTTGTTTCAAGCAGTGGTACCAAAGGTAAATATAGAATGTTGACCATCCGCTGTCACACTGGCTCAACATGACACACATTTCATTTTTCGAAAAGTAAAATTAACAATTAATTCAATATACGTACTTGGATGTGAGACATCGAGCTTTAATAAAGGAAACGACGTTCTAGAATATTCAAGGTTATATTAGCAAATTTTTGGGTCTCAATTAGTATTGCTAGTTATTATATGACAGTTGTTCGAAAATTCTGAGACATACAGGCGCTTCGTATAGGAAGTGTGACAGCGGAGGGTTAATATAAAATTACAATTACGTTTTTAATTCACACAAGCACGAGAACCGGTATTTTCATTTCCCTTTTTTTTTATGAAATGGTTGATTCTCTGTATTCAAATTTGTAGAAATGTAAATGTAGACTTCAACCACCTTCTGGAACTGAATTACCAGGTCACAATCCATTCCTTCCTCCATCAGCAATCACTCAAATTATGTTGATTGCAAATCCCAATAAGGTAAAAAAATGAAAATGTTCGATCGAACGTACGATCGTATTTTATGATCGTTTTCTTGGCCTTTACCTGATAATAAACCTTTTTTTTTTTTTAGGAATCAGTGTCCTTAAAATTTATGTTAAGTTATACGATGGACGACGAGACTTTCACAGAAATGGGGGAAGTGGAAAAATTACCTCTGTTTTGAAGTATCCTTTCGTAACAATTGAAGTTGTTACAATAGCTGTGTTTAATATTTCTTAAGAACGACTTCAGAATCAACAATTAATCAATGATGAAAACGTATATTCATAATTTTCCTAGTTTTACAATACAAAACTGTTCGCCCTGATCGACGAATATAATTACTGTTCTTTTCATAAAATTATCCTGATTATTTTTATTTATTCCCACGCATTGGGAAATGAAAGTAACGTTTTCTAGTTGTTTATATAAATTATTACATGATCCATATACATACTAAAAATGTGGGAAGATGTTTTAAGAAAGGAATTTAAACTTGACGAAATGTATGTGAACACGTTCGTAAAATATGCGCAGTGAAACTGAAATAAACAATTCAAAAGTAGGAGATCCGCATTCCATCTGATCGAAGTTAATGTTCCGTTATCGCCGAGTGACATACTCACGCGAAAATATAATATTTATCGTCAACTCAAATAAAAAAAGAACTCTATTTGCTTAGGAAACTGAGAGTACTTCGTCACGAAATGCGAGAGCAGTAAGTGCTTTGGTATGACCTACATATTCTCGTTCGACGATTCCTGTTGATACATTCCACAACCTGGCAACGCCATCGGATGAAGCTAAATTATATAAAAAAGTACTTCAGTGCTTAAGTTCTTACTTTAATTTCGATCGATGAATGTAAAATTTTACGGAAATGTTTATTGTTACCAGTGAATATATATTGTGAATCCGCGCTGAACGCAGCGTCCCAAACCCATCGTTTCGCTTCATGCTGAAGCACTTGTGCTTCTGAAAAGTCTGTAGTCTTCCAAACTCGTGCAGTTTGATCAGCCGACGTAGTCACTAAAAGCCTATGAAAGATATTACAAATTTGACAAGAACATCTATAATAAACAAGTTATATTGGCAAGATTTGATACGTTACTTACGTAGAATCGGGACTGAACTTGCATCGAAGAGCGTAACGCTTGTGTGCCAAAAGCTTATGGCGAGGATTAAGGCGGGTTGGTTCTTCTCCAACACCACCAGTCAGCGTCCAAATGTAACAATGGCCTTTGTTATTTACCGCTGCCATGTACGTACCATCCTGATCAATTGTAACATCTTGCACCGATGCTTCAGCTTCTGGAATCTTTGAATAGAGAGAGTTGTTTTTATAGATTTTAATCGAACCACCAAGCTATTTGTAAATAATAGTCTACCGCTATTCTTTAAATTATTCGTACGCTTATACCAGTTGTTCGTTATGATCTGAACGTAAATCCCACAAATGTATGACACCGCTTTGATCGCCAACTATAAGTTCTGCCTGGTTAGGATGTAAGCACACACAATTTACAGGAGCCGATACTTGAAATATTCTTTGGCATTGAAAGCTACTCGACCTGTCGTAACGTTACTATTAATATCGCCGCTGCTGTTACTATTAGCATTATCTTTGTAATATAAGTTGATGTAATATAATTTGAAACTTTAGACATTTACCTAAGGTCCCAAATGCGCGCGGAACAATCTTCGCCTCCGGTATACATCCATTTACCCTCTTCCTAAGGATAACGAAACATACTAATAATTTCACTATTGTATGGCATTCGAATTAACTGCAAAGATTTAATAAACCATTCGCTGGATTAACTCGAAGAATTATAATGATTAGACACCTGGAAACCCAAGCCTGTAATGTTCTTTGATACGCCTTCATAATTAATAACTGGGTTTGGATTATTTGAAACTAAATCGTACATTCTGATATGTTGATACCCTGCAGCAGCAACGCCATATTTTTCTGGAGTAATATCCAAAGCGTTAACTTGCTATATACAAAACAGTAAATAAGAATTATTAGAAGCAAAATAAGATTTAAAATAAATTTAATCGTAGCATTTTAACAATACCGAATCCGTGTGTTCTGCAGTGCGTTGACAAACTCCTGTATGAGGTTGCCATATTTTAATGGTATGATCATAACCGCCTGTCACAAGAATTACTTGCTCGTTACTGTAGGTGTTGTCTGCTGTCATTTATGAATATAAAACGACACTTGACCAGCAAATTCTTATTCTTCTTGATATCGTGATTCTCGAACAACACCAAAGAATTGTTCTTCCTTTTACTTTTACCGATTTCAATACGATTTATTGTTTTTCTGTAAATTATGTACACATGCACATATTCGAAGTGTACATGCAAGTACATAAAAACAAATTGTAGTATCGTATAATAGGTTACGTTACAAAATAATATTAATCATTTAGCAAGAAAACCTTTACTGTAATCAACTTTATAATTACAGATACATTAAGCACAATCTAACATCAATGAAAAAATATTTTCTGTTCACGAAGTAACCGCACGTTACTACGAAGTGCACAACGTAGAGTCTAAATCAGAGCTCGGAGTTAACTGCACATGACAGAGACAGACCATTTTCGGAGACTGTTCTGAAATGTGCTACAAGGGAGATCTCACAAATACGATTGGATGATGCCACTCTGCAGTACATTTCAGAGCAGTCTCCGAAAATGCTGTCTCTGTCATATGCAGTTAATTCCGAGCCCAGGTGTAAATTATAGACAAAGCGTACATTGTAGGGATGTACGCGATTCAGAATTGATCTTAGTGAAACGAATTTTCGATTTTTCTGAATCGATTCTATGATCAATTTGTGTTAAAAACGTACATTCTCTAGAGATGGGCGATTCTGAATCGATTTTCCTTCTTTTGATCTTCGATCGAAAGACGCCATAATGCCATTTTGACTACTGTATTGTTATTTACAACATTTTATCTTTTTAAATTCATTGTCTTTAAATGATTTTGTTAATAAATGAAAATCAAGTTTATCAATAAAAAAAATTATCAAGCTAATACTCGATATTAAGTATATCTTATCTGTATCTTATTATGAGACACTGGATATTAACTTTTAAATTAGATTTATTTATTTACTCATTTAGCACTTGAAAAAATGAAGAATTAACAGTCACCGTAATGTACGGTTAAATTAAAAAATTTAAAAATACCAAACCAAGAATAATATTTAAAAAATTCAAAACGCAGGATATAGGGGAAGAATGGAAGAGTAATGTAATGGCGATTGTGTGTTTCAATACTTATTGAAAATTATATGAATAATAGCAATATAAGCAATGATAGAAAAGAAGGGTCAATAAAGCCTGAAGAAAGAGAGATTTTAGTCTCGCCGTGTCGATGTACGGCGTTTCACTCGAGCTGTCAGATAACTTATCGCTCCGACATACAGAACCTTGGCACTGATCAACATAAGATATAACAAAAAAAATCCAATAAACATTTTTCTTTCAATTGTGTTGCATCGAATTTGAATATATTTTAAATATTTTAAGGTTTTATAAAGTTATTTTGAGATACAGATCTCTTGCGATGCGTATAATAAGACGCCAACGCGTGCGCAACGATGTATCGTCGTTGGCACTTTTCGCTAGTGTACCAAACGACGATACAGTAAAGTCTCCCTAACTGACGCTCGGATTGTGCGGAGAAATGTACAATTTGGGAAGAGGAGATACGATTATTCGAGCCTTGCGGCTCGCTTTTATAGTTGTTGCCAATTCGTAATTATAAAAACGAGGCGCAAGACTCAAATTAATCATATCTCCTCTTTCCAATTTATCCATTTCCGTGGACAATCTGTGCGTCAATTAGAGATACATTACTGTATTTGGCGGTCTAGGAGATTCTGTGTCTCCAAAAGTTTATCAATTATCACGTATCCCGGGTCACAAACACCTGCTTCACCCTATAAGACCCTGCCATCGCACAAACCTCGGACCCAGTGCCCGTGATTTCTAGCCCAACAANGAATGGAAGAGTAATGTAATGGCGATTGTGTGTTTCAATACTTATTGAAAATTATATGAATAATAGCAATATAAGCAATGATAGAAAAGAAGGGTCAATAAAGCCTGAAGAAAGAGAGATTTTAGTCTCGCCGTGTCGATGTACGGCGTTTCACTCGAGCTGTCAGATAACTTATCGCTCCGACATACAGAACCTTGGCACTGATCAACATAAGATATAACAAAAAAAATCCAATAAACATTTTTCTTTCAATTGTGTTGCATCGAATTTGAATATATTTTAAATATTTTAAGGTTTTATAAAGTTATTTTGAGATACAGATCTCTTGCGATGCGTATAATAAGACGCCAACGCGTGTGCGCAACGATATATCGCGTCTATTATATTATATTATATATGCATACATGTATTATAATGGAGAAAAACAGTTTTCAAAAATGAAATATTTTCAAGTTCGACGAGACGCTGGTTTCCACTGTCCGATCGATCTAAATTTTTCTACAGATTATTTTTCTTCAGTTAGTAGTTATTTACACAATCCTAGGGGATCTCCCGAAAAAATTCGATAATTAAAAAATAAGATCCCCTCCAATGTGCGCATGGTCAAATGTATTTTACAAAAACGTTTAAACTTTATAAAAATAGGCTTATATTTGAATAAATTCATATAAGAACATATTCTTCATTCTTGTGAAATAAAATAATTTTACGTTTTGAAAATTTGAATGGTAGAGTTATGTTTGCAACAATAATGAACTGGCGAAAAAACAATTTCATTCTGGGATCACTCGATTGTATATGTACAGATTCATGGAAAACAATGTATATATGCACTAATTGTGGGAGCTATTGTGTATACATACATGGATCTGTAGCGAATACGAGATATAACATTAAGGAAACAAATTACTTAAACGAAAGTAAAACTAAGCATTGTTTATTTAAATTCAGATGATATTAAACAAAATTTTACCGTCAAGTGAATAAACATTGTTTCTATACATAATTTAATTAATTACAAATAACGTCCTTTTCTGTTTTAGATTGGAAAAAATATGATTTTCAGATTTGTTGCAATTGCTACTTATCTTCATATCCTTATATACATTTTGATTTAAAGTACATTATTTTATATAAAACATATGTCAGCAGCATGCAGGACATTCGCACAAAGAAAAATTGTTTATTAAATTTAACTCACTTCGTCTACATTCAAAAAGTATTACAGAATGATAACAGTTTCAAAATTATGAAAATGTTCAAAGAAAAGCATAATGAAAATAAAAATGAAAATAATATTTTTTCGAAGTTTCGTTTCAACCTAGTTTGCAATTCCTTTCTTCTGTGTACAAATCAATTATCTACATACTTTATTGACAATCAATGCTTCAACATGATATTTATGAGTATGCTGAGTCAGTGGTAAGTATGCTATCGACGTTATCGCATATGTATGTACCTCACGGTGTAAACG